AAAAAAAAAGTTGCCACATAAAATGCCTCATTTTTTATCTTCCTAACTAAAACAACAATCATGTTGTGCTAAGTTAAAATACAACGAAAAATAGAAGAAAATGCTGTATTCTTAATATATATATAATAATATATCAATCTTATTTTAAATCTTTGAAGGACATTTTTCCCGACGTCATACATTTAAGCTCAAAGGTCAAACAAACTATTTCCGCAGCAGAGCAGATTTGATTGCAGGTGAGTAGAGTATGGCAATGACTCTTAGCATGATGCAGATTATGGGTGGGTAGAGTATGGCAATGACTCTTAGCATGATGCAGATTATGTGTGAGTAGAGTATGGCAATGACTCTTAGCATGATGCAGATTATGGGTGAGTAGAGTATGGCAMTKACTCTTAGCATGTATGGATGGATGGATGGAGGGAGGGAGGGAGGGATGGATGGATGGATGTATGAGTTAGTGAAATAAATAAGGAAAAATACTCTCTCAATTGCAACAAAAAGACGGTTTCCTTTGCCAGACTTTGAGGCACCAAAAAGTCAATTATTTCCTTCACCTGTCTGCCCTACCTATATCTGATTAGACATGCTTATTTTAATGACAAGAGGTGGTTGGGGTAATTAAACATAAAATAAAAGAGCAATAAAAATGGTTGAAGTGTGTTGAGGTGAATAATAAAAGCAATAAAGACGGTCGCTGTCGACTGGGATACTAGACTATTGTTATTTCTGTTTTGCCTTGGCCATCTTGATAACCATATACTTTGACTGTTTTCTTTTTTCATGACACCTTATCAATGGGCGTTTTTAAATATTGAGATCTTCTAATGGCGTATATATATCCTACAGTGATTTTGGTGGATGGATGGATGGATGAATGGGCTGGATGAATGGGTGTCACTCATAGTCAGGGATTAATGTACATACATGCCATTCAATAGCTTTTGCTCTCTTCAACTGAGACAAACATACGAACTATATTTGGGTTATATTCTCAGTCACCACCGTCGGTCTTAAAAATAACTATGACAGGAAGCAAGGAATATGTTTTGCATCATGGCTTTCGTACTACACTGCCATAATGCTTCGCAAGATTTCTTTATTATTGACATTTGCATCCCAATCCCTAAAACTGTGGGCGAGGTATCATTAAAACGGTTAATTTCAAGAAAAACTAAAATAAAATTTTCTTCGTTTTTGCTGTAACGAATTTATTTGCTGCTCGGGAAATTAAACTTAATCATGCATGATCAATATAGATGGAGCTTTCACTGATATCAAAATCATTTATGTAGAAAACCGCCATTCGCCAACGCAACGTATGAACGCAGTGGTTCGTTGATTGTATRAGGTTATGCAATAAAGTTTGGTAAGATGAACAAGCAGGCGCGTTTCGTCTAATAATTTCTGTAGCTACCACCCGCTCCTGGGGTCAGGAGTAACATCAGGGTAGTTTGGTTCAGTCGTTTAGTATTATTACATATCTTTTTGGATTTAGGGGCTTCAGTAACATTGTTTAGTTTAAAACTAGGTAAGCACTGAGGTGGAATGGTGTGTTTTGCACTTTTCACCGGGATGTGTTCGTTGGTTCATTCCTCAGACCTGCTGTCATCATTGTGAGAGAATTTTCTCACGTGCCTCTAGTTTTTTTCTTTATGCATGGAGTTCCATTTTTCTCCCTTGGTCAAGATTAAAAACTCTAAGCCGTATTTGGTTTAGTGAATGATGAAAAATTCCATTAGTAAATCCGGCCATTTGTTTTCATTTCATTCGTGTGAAAAATGGTACAGCCATGTACTCACATCCGGCCATTCGGTGATTTTTCCATTGTAAAKTTGTAAGAGACATTCCATTTCTCGTTGATTTTCCTCTCGAGGCTTTGTGGACTAAACCAGATAAACGGCTTATTGATACTCATGACGTTGGCCATAAGCACCCAACATAGTTGCATTAAAATAATGATGTTCCCTGCCTGAATAAATGATCCAATATAGAGAGGGATTTTTTTTAGGATAAACTACTGAACTCGAGGAGGAAAAGTATAAGGCTCATAATGTAGTAAGTTAGAGTGTTATGTTGCATTTCTCTTAAGTTAACAGTCAATTACAAAAGCTTTTCTAAGACTAAACATAGAAATTTATTCTATGTATGCTTAAGGAAAGTTTAAGCCTAAAACCCACTTTGTATTATCAAGAATTATAAGGCAACCCTCGTGAAAGGGCAAACAACAATCAGTTCCAGTTCCGCATAACTCATAGAGTAAGCCTCCTCGTGGAAATATGTAACAGAGGCTGCATGAGAGGCTTAAAGCCAGAAAGGTTCTGAAGATGGATCGGAAATTCAATGTACAAAGCTTATTAAAGGATGTATTATGATTAATCTATTTAAAAAATCCGAGTATATTTAATTGAATTCGAACGCTTGGTAATGGCCCAAAAAAATAAGAACGCTGCTGGGAGTCATTACAAGATACGAGATACAGATGCCCGAGAAAAGGAACAATGCAATACGAATTATATWTTTGAGTTTTGAATGAAAGTAGTAGATCTGTGAGCCTAGCCTGCGTAACGGCCCTCGGCGTTCCCCTCCGAACCCAAACCCCATGATTATTGAGGGCCGCTACGCAGGCTACTGTATAAGTCTCTCTCATTCATAGAATGGAAATTAAGATTTTCGTGCTACTTAACTTAAAAAGTGTTCGTTTTTGGTTTTTGTTTTTGTTTTTGTTTTTTTAAATGAACGATCCAGTATCAGGATTATTGGATTTTGAATTGTCGACCCACATTTGTTCATGCCGGCCACCGTAACAGTACTGACTGCATTCAATATTCTACCGGACAACCCAGAAAAATATCCATAGCCTTGTGGCATATACATAAGAGGGATCAAACGTAAACGAATGGCTAAAAATCCAGGCAAAAGCTAGGACTATCAAGAAGTCCATCATTAACAGGCCCATCTAAGTCAAGTATTTTCCTTCAATTGATAAGCAAAACACCGTCCTTGATCGTCTTTCATCACATGACGATAAAGCTTAAAATTTGTGGAAAATTCCTGATTCAAACGAATGAAAATATTTACATTAGTCTTGGCAGAAAAGGCTCCCAATTTATGTGAACTAAAAAACATAAGTTACGAAAACACGCACAACTGTCATGATAAGAAATTCTTAAAATTTCCTTTGTCTCGATCTGTTTTGACAGTTTCTTAATTAAATGACTCTAAATTCAGGCTAGTTTTCCGGAGCTTTACTCTTCACACAATAACACCCAATGAAGAATTAACAGAGAGAATGCCTAATTTCCTTTTTTGAGGAAAGTTCCATTTAAACAATACATTTTAGCATGATATTGCCCTTGTTAAAGTCACGTTTTCCCTCTTAATCTTYGTGGAAGGTTTCAGTTCAGTTTGCAGTGACGACACAGCTTGTTTTTACAGTGTACATAGTACTTGTGATGTTATCAAGTCGTTTCGTTTTCAATAAACAAACCAGACTTCTGGAACCATTCTTAATGGCCAACAACTGTCTCAAAAACCTACTGATTTTGACGATGGCATTTTTTGACAAGGTAGCCATGGTAACGTGACCAATAAAGCTGTTCTATATATAATAAGAGGATAGAATATATAGAATAATCCTTTTAGAAGAAAATCTTAAAACTTTTCTTTTCATAGTCATGCTATCTCTTTTCTTATTCTTTTCCTGGTTTTTCCTTCTCTTTTTTCCTCTTTTTTTATTTGTATTTTGTATTTGTGTTTTTATTTCTATTTATTTTTTATTTATTTTAAAGCAACCTCGACGGTCGTGAGTAGTGTTTCCTGAATTATCATGATTTTCTTTTAAGATTCTTATACCATGATCTAATGACTGTGTGTTTCTAGAAGTTAAGCTCATTTTAGCCATAATATCCGATCATTTTATCAATCGTTATCATTTTTTGAGAATATAATTATGCCCAGTTATGAACCAACTCTGCAGACAAAACCCGACTGATTAAAGATAATACATTGATGGCAAAGAATTTTTTTAAATTTAGCTATTCTAATTAATTTCCCAGCAGCGGCTATCTGGATGTAACGACGACTCACAAGATATTGTCAGTCTAGGTAAAAACGACTAATGGCTAGGTCAGTGCAATGCGAATGAAAAATTATATGTGGAAATTAAAACTAACTCAACTGCTGTAAGAGACTCTCTGCACTCTGAAGACTGTCGCTCAGCGGACATTTTTCTCTATGCCAATTCTTTTTATAAGCGAAATACGAACATTTTATGGCGACGTTTCGAGTTTAGACAACGAACGACACTTTTCTGTATGTAAGCTACCATTAATTAAAATACTATCAAGTATGAAGACCAAGCAAAATGGCTTTGACAGCCTAAGTGTTGCGACAACTCTTCAAAAGAAAAATGTTGGAATCTACAACTAGAAGTTAAAAATCAGTCTTTCAAAAGTGTAATCGATAAACAATTACTTCGGAGTATACTGAAACTCTTTTCGTAAAACTGGAAATAATTAGATTAGCATGTATACCATGGCGCCTACGAGCTGTCGTGTGGTTGGATAATCATTTGGCGCGTTTTCACTAATTGTTCTTACTCTCTTTCCTCTCAGCGGAACAGATTACAATATTCCATCTTTTTTCTTCTAAATTCCCAGTTTTTTTGTTTTTGTTTTTTTGTTTATTGACAACACTTTGAGTTTTCTAAATAATTGATGGGATAATATGTACGTACATCTGTCCTTTTTTGAATTGAAAGCAAGTAATCAATAATTCCAAACTGACATTTTGGTGTTTTTCGATTCATGGTTTGATCAAAGATAAGAAATGAAAAGATAATTAAAATACTCTGCACCGTCTGCGGAAAGTCAGAACGACTAATGTTTAAATTTGAGGGTCACTTGATGAGCGGTTGCCCCACAGATTATTTTTACTAAGTCAACTATTGACAAAGACATTATAAATGCTTCTTTTGGGAAGAGCTCATTGCATCACTGAAACTAAAACCACTGATGATAGATTTAATCCATAACCGGAAACTTTACCACACAATTAGCAAAAGGTCAGTCAAAAGAGACAAGAACATTTGCGTTCTTCCTCATAGCCATTATATTCGTAAGAGACTGAAAATATACTGAAATAGAAGCTTAAGGCAAGGTCTTCATGCGACATCTCCGACTCGACGCCTCCAAGACTTATGGTAAAGGCGTGGGAGATATAAATATGATGTATGGTCGTCTTGATTGTATGTAGCCATTGATTAGTAAACAGAGTATCGTCAGCAAGGCTTGAAAACCGAGGACAAAATCAACTGAAGAATTGAAGACACAAGTTCACACCGCGAAAAAAACAACTTTATTCACCGACAAGAAAAGGACATTACTATGAATAATTCAAGTGTCTCATCGAACTGTGTTAATGGAAGTTGTAAAGTTGGTTCGGGGAACGTAGAGCAACCTTTCAAGGAACCGACCGAACTGCAAGTATTTAGTCTTATTCTTTTAGGTCTTGTCATCTTGACTTCATTACTCGGGAATATCTTAGTCATTAAAGCTTTACTTGAAATGATCCGAAAGCCTTTTGTATATTGTCTAGTGACAAACCTTGCTGTGAGCGAACTTATCAATACAATCTGTATACCGTTTGCGGTCTCCTACTTAGAAATGGGTACATGGGTCTACGGAGACTTTCTCTGCAAGATTATGATTCCTATGCAAGTGACATCAGCTACTGTGGTTACTACAACTATCGCCATGATTTCTATTCGACGATTTCAACTAGTAACAAGCAGAGGGATGAACTTTCCGTCCAGTAGAAAAGGGATGTGGCTAGTCATACTCGGCATCTGGATGTTTGGGATAGCTACTAGTCTCCCTTTGTTTATTTTCCATCAAGTAGTGCGTGTGTCAGGGCCGGCTAGCACAGATTATGAGAGTTTAAGTTTCTGTGTAGAGCGCTATCCGTCAGACTCCCCCTACGAATGGCCTTCAAAGACAAGCTCCAGATACAGTATTGCTAGAATCTTCCTGTGCTTTGTCGCGCCTGTTTTAATCATGATCATATCCTATGGAGCTGTCACTGTCAACATTAAAAAACATATCAGACACATAGCCAAGAGTGCTCGAGGAAGGGTGGATTCGATGCAGTCAAATACAAGGGCAACAGACTGCAACATTGATATCAGAGCATCATCTCCACCTTATCCACAAATGGTACCTCTACGAGACATTGCTACGAGGTCTCAAGAGGATAAGACTAGCTCACCCGCCAGAACAGAAATGAAGGCGCTACTCGATCAAGAAAGCGATCTGATAAGAATGTTCTACATCATAATATTCATATTCATTGTTTTCTATCTGCCTTTTCAAATATTTTACCTTCTACATCTACTTCGGCTGGTAGAGGAGGGAAAATATGGCTTTTTTATTCGAAAATACTTGTTACTGCTAACGTGTTTTCCGAGTGCTCTTCATCCCCTTTGCTATGGAACGAAGAGTCGATTCTACGCAAAAGCCTTTAAGAAACTTATCCTCTGTAAACGCTAATTTATCTTCCCTTATCTATTTGATGGATAGAAACAAAAAAATGTAAGAACAATAATGAATACTAATATAACGTGAAAATGTGCGGCTTGCCATCTGRTTCTTAAGAAAATATTCAGACTTTCTTCTGGGAACTTCAAATGAAAACATAACATACAATATCTACTCATTTATTCTTAAATGGGAATAAAATAGGGCCAACTTATAATCCAAACAACAGGGTTTCTGCGATATTGTGTGCTTCTTCACTTGGCTCCCTATTGATGAATATTTACAATACATGTCATGTTCAATTATATGGACCACGATATTCCAATATTTTTGACTTGATACTTGATACTGATAYTTATCTGTTTCCAAAAATATGGCATTTGTAATGTCGTCATAACAGTCGTCATAAAAGCGTGCTATGAACTTTATTATTTTTCCCAAAAAGTTAGAAATCCTTTAATATCTCCTTCAGCAATAATAAGAATACCATTATGGGATTCTTTTAATGTTTTTAACGGATTTCTTATTTAGTACTCGCTGGTGATTAGTTTAAATGTTAGAAAATAATAGGAAAGCCATTACGATGTTACGGCATGAAGTACCGTGTAGTCTACGTACTGTATGTCACTATTGTAAGTTCTTCTAGCATGTAAACCACTTGAGGAACCGGCTTTGTCTGGGGCAATGATGGGTAGCCATTAAATTTGCCACAGTAGGCGACCATTTGTTTTTCTCGTACTAAAAAGGCGTTACATAATCTGCTGTTGTGATGAATTTCCTCTTTATGCAGTTAGGCTCCGTCCGCATGCATTTGTTCTTTAGTAAACGATTTTTTCAAACTGTAAGTTCAAATTATGAATTAATTACTAGAACTCTTCAATGTGAACACTACACAATATTAAGACTTGTTTGACGTAAATATTTCCCTAGTGCATGAAATACTCAAGGGGGGGAAAAATATTTTGACGAGCATGTTTCGAATAAGAGAAGTTCACATGTACAAAGCCGATGATAAAAGCCGGCAACATCGATCTTGTCCCCAGGCATTTGTACACTTGTTCCGTGAAAATATTTGACTCAGTACGATTATCTTTATTTGTAATATATAAATTTAGGCACTGCCTAAAAGCGGAGCTCCCAATAGGCACAGGGAGCCCAATTTAGATAAAACTAAGAGATGAAAATAAAATCGGGGAAAAAATGTGAAAGTTTTTTCTTCTTTCAGATAATGTCCACCATAATAAAAAGTCTGATCTAAACCCTTAGTTCAATGTCTGGAATACTATCAAATAATAATTCAGATCAAATAAAGATGGTAGTAGCAAAATAGCGATTATAAAGCATTATGATAAAGCCTATAAATATCATAAAATTGGAGATCAATACCAATGGTCATAACAAGAATAATCAATAACAGAAACGGGAAGTAAGTCAGTCTTGCGTGGGTTCCGTCTGTAATATTGCTATATGGATCAAGACCTTCAAAACATTATCATAGAAATATCTAACCCTCAAGCTACTGAACACTAAAAGCACACCAAGCACTTCCTTTTTTTATCTGAAAAATAGAATTTGCACTTACAGCTTAAGAAACTAATATCAGGAATAAAACCTTTTTAGTGTAATGGGTTGAAATTAATGTGACAGAGGTGTTAGTTTAGGAAAGATACATTTTCATTGGTGTCGTTAGGGCTGGGGATGATTCGCTTTAAACTCTTACAACAAATGATGGTTGTAACCCTAATCCTTTTCTGAGAGAAAAATTCATGTCGACCCTTCTAAGTCAACAAAGAAACAGCTTTCGCCACAAAAAAATACGCTTGACACTCAACAAAAGTTGAAATTGTTATGACCCTTCTACTCTGTACCAGGTGCCCCAATGATAAAGATTTCCTAGCTTAGTGTACTCAATGCAAAGAACTTGTTCAGTGAGAGCGTTACAGCTATTTTTATAAACATGCGACCTCGGTGCTCTGAGTTGCACGCTGAAATTTGGTTTTGCGCTACCGTCAATCAAACCTAATCATTCGGTACCTTTCATATTTTTGACTGGTGCCAGCGAAAAACCAAATTTCAGCTTGCAACTCAGAGCACCGAGGTCGCATGTTTATGAAAATAGCTATTAGAGCTCAAGGCGTGAATCTTTCCCGTGCTAAATTCTGGACGACATGTTACTCGAATTCTACAACTGATAAAGAATTTGAGGCGGTGATCATAAGGGCTCGCCCATGTCTTACTTTATTCTCCCCACTCAATAATCTTTCGCGTGGAAGCCAATTTATTACTACTAAATAAAACTAAACACTGAAGAAAACTTGTATCATGAATTAAATGTGCCTAATAGGAACTGAAGCACCAAAAATTGAAATTATTAATATTAATAAATGATAATAATAATAATAATTAATAATAATAATTATTATTATTATTAAGGCTAAGGATACTAAGACATTTTGACGGGTATTTTTCGGAGTTTTATTATATTGAATTTTCCGTAGTTTCACAAAAGAATCAGGGTTTGTGCAATTAATAATGGCGGGACCCGATACTAATGTCTTAAATTCAAATTTAAAGATTAAAATAGCAATATCAATTACAAATAATAATGTGTGTATGTATAGTGTAAAATGAGTGGCGTACGACAAATTCCAAATAGAGAGAGAGAGAGAGTGAGTGAGAGAGAGAAAAGAAGAAAATTAAAAGGATTATTTTTTTTTGAAAGAGTAAATAAAAAGCTATACAGTAGAAAAATAATATGAAAGACATATACATGAATTTTTTTTAAGGAAACGTCTTAATTTAGCTTTATCTGCAGTGACAGTGTTCGATCAAATATCACTGATTCACGATTAGAAACAGCTATATTTGCGTCAAACTGCCGGTGTTTCGAGAACCAGACATTGAGCAAATGTCTCTTTTTTTTATTTATTGTGCCACTTTGTTTGTGAGAGAGAGAGAGAGAGAGAGAGAGAGAGAGAGAGTTGAAACAGACAGAAGGACGGAAAGAAAGACAGACAATAAGAAAATGGCCCGATAAGCGGCTGGCTGAAGTAATCAACATATATATGATATAGATATTTTGATATGAAATTAAAGCTCAAGCCGACGATACAACACTTAGCTTAAGGAGATAATGTCAAAGGTTTTGCAACGCAATAATAATATTTGTAATGCGTTCAAGATGTTCCATACAGATATATACAGCAGATGTTTGTAGAAAGGGTTCTCCATTAATTCACGTCTCTCATCGTGTGCTGTATATACCATTTCTACTACACGATAACTTATCGTTACTAACATTATACCAATAAGCCAAATCTTATTACAGTGTATTTCTACGTCAAACCTTTTTGTTCTAGGTCGCTATTTGCTTTAATTTGCAAAAAGGCAAAATCCTTATATAGACATTTTGCTGGTGAATATCCTTGTAAAATCAAGATTCTGTGATAAAAGATACGTACTGGGGCGTTYTCCATATACGCACGATTCGTTTCTGGATACCTGACATGTAGATTTTTATATCTGTTTAGTATCCTAGAACCTACAACGCTCTGATTGGCTCAGTGTTTGCGTTTTTAATCGAATATTATTATTATTATTATTGTTGTGGTTGTTGTAGTTCATATAAATATAAATATAAATTTATATTGATATATTAATATATTAATATCAATATTGATATATTAATATTTTATACTTTTATATTTTATATTTTTAAAATATGTTATAATATCAATATATTTTGACCAATTAATATATAATATCAATATTAATATGAATTAATATTAATATATATTAATATATGTTAATATTAATATCATTAGTATCAGTATCAGTATTATTAAGACAAGAAAAGGAAAGAAAATGAGAAAATAAAAATACTATTTTTGAAAGATTAACGTAAACATCAGAAAAAATCTGTTAACATTTGTTGGTCAGCTACGATTTCAAGCTCRCGCCCCCTCATGTGAGCCCATACAAATTATGTCTCAAAAACACGGTTTGTGGATCTTTTCTCGAAATAATGACTATCTAGGCAAAAAACAGAATTGGATTCAGTTAATTCAACTATTCACGGACTGTATTATATGGTTTAGATTGAATTCTATTGAAAAAAACCACCGTACTTTTTAGTTGAATGTACGCTGTTGGATGTATCACAAGAGAAAATGCATGACATAACCGGGGTCAAGCTAGAAAATCGTCTCTCCTTTAAATAAAACAGAACCTGTCAAAAAAACCGAAGTGGATTTGAAAACCCCGGGCTTTCCTGAACATTTTGGTATATAATTCATAGGAATTTGTTAAAATTTAGAACCGTATTTTTGCTGATTTTATAAGCTCATACTATCTGTTGACCTATACATTCCCCTCTTATGGTTTCTTAGGTTTCGTAGCCTCGAAAACACGCTAACTACTAGTTAGCAAAAAAAACAGAAGATTTACTGGTCATTTAGGATGTTTTGTCACGCAGTTTACTTGTGCTATATAACTTTACTTTTAAGAACAACCTTTTGCTTTGGAAAGAGAGAAAAAAGACCGAAAAGTGCAAATATTTCAAATGTATGGGCAGTTTTTTCCAATGCTGCACAGCAGAGAAAAAAAGAAAGACATAAACGGCTTTTTTTTAAAAGGAAACTTTCTTCTGTAGCATGACATTATTAGTGACAGTGCTCGATCAAATGTCATTTACTCAGGATTAGAAACACTGGGCTTGATTTGCGTCAAACTGCCAGTGGTCCGAAAAACCAGACATTGAGCAAATATTTCTAATTTTTTTGACTGTGCCATTGAATTGCTTTTCTAGTTAAAAAATGCAAAAAGTCTTATCTTTTTCATTCCCCCCCCCCCCCGTATTATATTGGCATATTATCAAAGTGGCCTATTTAGTTTCTTTGCTTAATAGCATGTATTTTGACTTAACTAGTCTCATTGTAAACCGAAGGTGGATATAACTTGCATGTGTAATAAGTATACCTTTCTGTAATTAAAGTAGAATCAATTACAGTATTCCTGAAACGGGTATAAGAGGTAGAATAAGATAAATGAATCGATAATTAATACTGGAATAAATATTAAAACAATGTTTCGCGACGAGGAAAACAAAACCTGATAGAAATGTGAATTTTTATAAGATAATAAAACGAAACCAAAGACACGCTTAATAGCTATTTTTTTAAGTATAAGGTCTGCTATCGGAAGAAAGGTGTCACCTGTTAGGCGTATCCTAACTCACCAATTTCCCCCGCTTCTGACAAGTGTTCAAGGAAAATCCTGACATATCTTAAGTAATATTTAGAAAAGGAATTATATCCTAAACTATCAACTGGTTAACTAGTTACTTATAAGACGGGGATAGGGCGACGGTAGTCTGCACTCAATTTTTCAAGAAAAAAGAGGTTTGCTATACTAAGATCAACACGATTTCCCACGAAACCTTATAATGTATTCAAATTTATAGTTTAATGCAACTCTTTTTATGTTTTACGTTGTTAGCTCAAATCTCATTTTGTTAGGAATATCGAGAGTTTGTTTTTTTCCATTTCTTGGGTCAATTTTTCACCCACTGGCCTGATTTAAAGGGGTAGGGACAAGTTACATATACGTTCCTAGGTCCCTCAAGACCTCTTCTGCCTTCCCTTCACCCTCTTATTTCTAGTCTTGGATCGACTTGATAAGACATTTGATTTAGATCTCTCATGAGCCTACTACCGCGTAAAACAATATATCTAATACCGATTTAAACGATATCTTGATCCATGTCTTGAAGCACGACTCATATGCTTTTAACAAGGTGTTCTTCAAATTTATCTAGATCAGTCCTCAGACAAGCTCTCATGCATTTCCCTAGTAAAATACTTGTCATTATGAACTTAGTTCTTTTAATCTTAAAAGATTCACAAGTGCATGGTTTAGCCTGTTAAGTGTTCCTCTAGTAAAACAAGTATATATATTTGATAAACCCTTAAACAAACGGTATAATTAGGCGACAATCAAACGACAGAACCATTTAAGTGTTGGCGTAGTTATCTTATTTTAAACCACGCATCATTCTCTTGAAAACAACATTCTGTGTTTGAATTGTTTTCATATTAATCTGGAGCGTTAAGAGTAAAGAAAGAATTATAATCAAGCAAATGACACGTGGTCTGCAATGAAAGGCATTCTTAAATCCCTAGTTTAGAGCTTCTACTCAAATCAGGACATTAATTTAGATTTTTTAAGGGGGAAACACCTAATCAAAAACGAAATGCTTTCTCTTTCTGAAAGTCGGTTCGATCCAAGGGTTATATATAGTCTCGCGGTTCAAAGTTTTCAGCCGTACTTAGGACAAAACTAGTCCAAGAATGCTTTTAAGACTAAAATTCATACAGCTTTGAAATCCAATCTCTAGTTTCATTAGTGACCGTTGACCTTTTAAATCTGACAGAAATGTTTAATTGTAGAATATGTACCAAGTAAGTAAAGGAAATCGTTAGAGATGCGATCTATACCTGGGTAAATATGTAGGTATTTAATTAATGAAAAGCAAAAATTGTGTCAACGATCCCAAGAACATCAGTTGCCAACGCCGATAGGATATAAATACTAATAGGCACTTCGACCCCCTACCACTATTCAGGCAATCGTTTATTGCATATAGGAAAATTTTACAATTATCAACTCAGCTATTGCATAAAATGTTATTTAAATATAACATTTTGTTAAATGATGGCTGTTCAGCTCTGTGTTTTTTTTTTTCCAAAATGAGAAAAAATGGGCGGATACAGGGTGGGGGGCTGCGTAAAAATTCACAAATCTCAACGCTGGCTCTACAAAATGAAACTAATGAAATGGATAAATACGGATCCCTCTCAGTTAACGATATTTCTCGCATCATATCTTAAAATGGTTGTGGATCTCTCTCTATATATATTTGAAAATGGCACTGATCGAATGTGAAGAATGAGCGCTAGCTTGCTAGTTAGCAGAGGTGTTTGATTTCGCATTATACAATCTCGTACCCAGAGACTGCGTTTCTTCTGACCTGCGGCGAATAACAAGGGCTCTGGCATAATCCATAATTTCTTGGACTTCGAAATTCCGGTATGAGGGCATGCGTTAAAAGAGTTGCCAAAAATTAAAAACATGTTCCTGATTTCTAATTTTTATTTTGATCGAAAATATACACAGAACTCTGTTTGAAAGCATAATTTTCATTGATTATATTTCACTTCGGGAAAACTGCGCATGCGCCAAAAAAGGATTATGGTAGAGCTCTCGTTCTTCGCTGCAGGTCTGAAGATACGCAGGCTCTGGGTACGAGATTGGTCCTTATATTTAAACCCATAATCCTGCGCACTGGCATAAGGTCGCTACCGTGAACTTCATATTGCTGAATACCAAATAAACAAAGTCATCAACAAATAAATAAATGGTTCACTTCCTCTATAACTATAAATTTGTTTATTTTAATACGCTCATGAGATATTAAAATATTGAGGTGCACGCTAAACTTAGAAGATTTTATGGAATCTTAATTGTTATGAGGAAAAAATTGAATAGAAAACAGTATTAGCAAAGCGAAATTTGCAAATCGATAAAACAATAACTATAAATTGTATTTTTAATGCGAACATACAAGAATATAATTTAAAAGATACCAAAAAAAAATAGGCAAAGCTACGCAAATTTGATGGAATCCTAATCTAAGTAAAAAAAAAAAAATGAATAGCCAACTGTATTAGAAAATTAAAACAAAACCTTGGAAATGTTTTTAACAATGATTACTAAATGGATTTTCTATCTGTCATTTGTAATGTTTGTCTTGATATTAATAAGCCACAGAACTAAACTAAAATCTGTTTTACAGTTAAGTCAAATTCTATGTGTTTTGATCACGAAATAAGTATCCAGAAAACATAATAAATTTTAATKTATTATGTTTTCTGGACCCTCATTTTATTTTTTTAAATTATTTATGAAAACCAGTGCCTCTATCGGAATATTTGCTTATTGGCTAGAAATTGATTACAGAATTTAGCACTCATTATTTTTATTATTAATAACAACAAAGCTGTTTTTTTTTATATATTTGCTTATTGGCTAGAAATTGATTACAGAATTTAGCACTCATTATTTCTATTATTAATAACAACAAAGCTGGTTTTTTTTTACGCGGTACACCTAACTTTATGAAGAAAACAGCAAACTAAACTACAATGCTGAAATAATATACGAAATAAACCAATAGGATTTTTTAAGCTTAAAGATATTATGGTACTAAGGTATTATGAGAGTACTTAGTATAGATACGTTGTTTGCCTTACGGGTTTGTCAAAACCACTTTATCTTATCCAACTGTGCTAACAAACAGTTCTAGTCATGTTTATGTGGCTCAAGGCATTAAACCAATTCATTAATTGGTTTCTAATAATTATATTTCTATTGCTTGATCAATATATGCCATTTATCTTTCTACTCTCTTTTATCTACTATGTAATCTAAGCGTCTGCGCTTTCCACTAAAAGCATTTTATTGCTTAGTAATAGCATTTTATTGGTTAGTTTTTTTTACTTGATTTGTCTTCAATTTTTGACTTGTCCTTCAATGTTATTTTCAGTTGTTAGGATATCAATGGTGATAAGGTTTTTACACCTTGGTTTCTTCATCAGAGTCTTTTCCAGGTGAAGGGACAGATCTTCCCTTGCAAAATGTTTTCAGTTCCTTGTCAGAATCAGAATCAGTATCAATATCCTTGTCTGCCGGCAAACGGTAGGTCTTTCTGCCAAGTTCTTTTCTCGGAATACTGTCAGTAGATTCTCCATACGCCTTTTTCGATCTTGCATACATYGCATCATCGGCATCGGAATCTGTTCCAGATGCAGACATCAACAAGGCTTTTGTAGGATCAACATTGCTCTTGGCAGGCCCTTTTCCTTTTCCTTTACTTCGTTGATCTTCAACATCAGAATCTGATTCACATTCATACATTAGAACCTTAGGGCTCGGATCCTTCTCAGCCATGTGATATTTTGTTTTGGAAGACTTTTTTCGCACTTTCTCACGCCTTTCTTTTCCTCCTTTCTGTCCAAAAGCACCTTGTTCATCATTTCCGTAAGTCGATTTTTCAACACCATGTACATGTACATCATCAGAGTCGGAATCACAACCGTACATCAGTAGACGTTTGCTAGTACCAAGCTGTTGACTGGTGCCTTTATCATATTGGCTTCTTGATGATCCTCTCTTTCTTTTGACAGGGTGGCCAAACGTCCCTTCGCATGGAACATCGTCTGTGACAAGTGCAGAGCTTGAGGCTGTTCTTTCTTCTTGATCATCTCTCTCCATGAGTCTTATTGGTTGCAATTCGATATCACTGTTATCACCCTGCGACAAAGTGAATTTTTGCAAAACTATTGGTTCTACAATGGCTCTTTCTTTTCGAGTTTTCCTTCTTTTCCTGATGAAGAACAGGCATAACAGGCAGAATAGAAATAATAGTAAAACTGCCAAAACTGAACATATAATGACTACAACTCCAGGCACCTCTGTCTTTTTAGATGTCTTACATGGAGGAAAGGCATCAAATGTCCCATAAAGTTTACACTCTTCGATGTTGAGGATTTTTTGACAATAAAAACCAAAAAGGCTAATCGAGAGTTTATGGTGAGCAAGGCTTCCAGAGTCAGCAATGTCTGAAATGCAGGCTTCGTAATAAAATCGCGCTTGGGAAATAAGAACTTTGCTACATAGGTTCTGCACATCACCAGTGTAGAACCATTTATGACAAGTCTTTATTGCTTCTTCTCGTAGAGTGTTATTCCTGAAGTACACAGTGTAGTTGGTAAGAGGAGTGAGGAAAAGCGTGGACGGAAGCCATTCTGTAGAGGTTTTAGCAGGTTGCACTGACAACGTAACAATTTTACCAGTAGTATCATTCTCCGACAAAGGACTATTTTCATTAAGGCTTACGTTCACAGCTTTGTATATCCATGCATTTATGTTTCTTCCATAGCCTTCGTCGAACGGTAAGTTCATCAGAAGTCCAGGGTAATAGTAATCAAATTTAGAATTTCTTAAGGAAACTATTTCTTGTTCAGGTTTTGCATATTGCCACAGTCGAACTTCGTCTAATGCTCCAATGAGACTATAGTTATCAACTATCTCTCCAGCTTTAGCGTATCTTCCAATAAACAAAGAACCATCAGGGGCAAATTTACTGCCAAGATGTATGCCATATAAGGATATTGTTCTATTCACATCCTTGTTTGCGGCCATGATAGTCACCCGTCCATCGTTTGTGCGCCATGATATACTCACATGGGTCCAAATCCCTTCCTTTAGTGTTAGGTTTGTCCTTGCAGTTTGATCATTCCAAACGACTGCGATGTTATCGTTATGTAGCAGAGCAAAATTAACGGTGTCAGTGGAAAACGAGAACAGGACTTGTTTGTTCGTTATCGGAGCAGCGCTTAGGAGGCTTGGATTTTTTTGCGATGAAGAGCATTTTTCGGTGATGGTGTCAACATCATTCACTAAGCATACCCAAAGTTCAAAGGTAAATTCCTCCAGCTCCGGTAGATTTTCATTCAGAGAAAGGGAAATATAATTGTTTGAGAAATGTATCATAAAGCCTGCTGCTGTAAATGGGTACTTTGCAAAAGATGTATTCAAAAAGTTGCTTTTAGGTGGAACTTGTAGCGTGGATGACAATGTTTTATCGATGTAGGCTTGGTTCAGTTGGCTGGAATTAACGTTACTTTGGCCATCTCGTAAAGATGTGACTAAACTGCCAGTCTTCGCTCCACATAACCCGTGCGTCTCAGTTTGTATTTTGTTCTTCTTTTTGGATGGCATTTCCACCGCTACTCCCAACGTGCCATTGTAAATAAGAATGTGAAGCTTTTCGTTCTGATCGAAAGATACTTCAAGTATATCCGCAGTAATCCAACGGTATTTTGGTTTCGCTCCCTTCAACTTTGGTAACGACTTGTACTTTTCAGACCGAGTAAGTCCAGACGTCGTCTTGGACTTATAATCAAGTAGCGTTGTCTCTACTTTACGAGGATCAGCGTAACTGACAGACAATGCAAACGAACTAGTGTTAAGGGCAATTTCTGATATTCGGCGGCACGATAGTCTATTGTTACACGGGACTTGAAGAATCTGTGCGGTAAAAATACTTGAGTTTATCATCAAATAAGCACCTGGCACTTCGAAGTTGTAGTTTACTCCATTGGCTGTAGTAAAGTGAGGGTCACCAAAATTCATTGACATAGATGGCGTTTTGTCGTCAATGTTGTTTGTATCTGCGGCAATAGAACAGTCAGTTCCTGCCCAACCGTTGGTGCAAGCTGAACAAGGACGAACGGGAGAAGACACATAAGTGTCACGGTCAGTCGTTCCATTCCATTTTTCTGAGCAATGACATTGTCCATTTACGGCATCACAAATACCATGACCGTTGCAGATATTCCGCAATCCCCCTGTACACAATTTGCTGCAGTCTTCTCCCCAGTATCCTTCTTCACATGTGCATCTGACACCAACTGCATTATAATGTGATGCCGCGCTTGCATAACCAAACACACATTTAGTGTTACAAAGATACCCAATCCAGTCTCGAAATCTTTTTTCTGGAAATCGATTGCACAGCTTACGTGCGGGCCATTCGCTCAATTGTAATGCTTCTTGGCAATAGTCTGCGAATGAAATGACAGTGTCAAAAGCCGCTTTACTGTCTCCAGACAACGAAACCTCGTCGAAACACGTGTTGTAGTACGACTGTGCAACAGGTCTTCCTAATGGCAAACAGTTTTCAAACAGTGGACCCTCAAGGATTACAGATCTGCAAAATGATTCAGCGAGCTCGTCCAAGGTATCATTTCTAAATACTGGTTCGTTAGTTTCATAGGTAGGTATGTCTGAGTTAGAAAACACTCTCTCTGGCTCATGGAAGGTTTTCAAGTACAGGTCACTATTCCCAGCTGTATCTCGCACAATTCCTCCCTCAACTTCATCCAGTCTCCAAAGATGTAAGAGATCTGGATAAGCACGGGGCTGCACATTTAGTCTTCGGTTACGCTTTACAATGTCAGGATTGTTTCTCCTTTTCCACATCCTCACTTCGTCAATGTCACCATAAAATGTCGAATGCGGCGGCTGTTCGTTTCCCCCCGATGGTAACCATTGACCAAAAGCTAAAACACCTCCTTTCTTCCAGATATCTTTGTCCACCATGAAAACCCTGACGCGGAGATTTCCCAATTGGTCAAATATATAAACCTCAAGCTTTCCTATTAATTGGTAAAATACAAGAGTTATTTGGTTCCATCGATTTATTTCCAAGGCGATTCTTGTATCAAGCTGTTGGCTTTTGTAATAAATTTTCATCGTCAAATCGTTGATGACTGCAAATGTGGCTTCCTTGGCAATGGACAGAACAACTCCACCATATTCTTTAATACGGACCAAAAGTTCTAAAGTTAGAATGTTCACTTTTGGAATGTTTAGTGGTTTTGAAACAACGAAACTGTCCCTGAAGTTCAAACAAAATCCTCCGCCAGTAATTTCTTGATATTCGTAATAATGTTCAAAATAATAGGAGAAAAGCGTGTCACTTGGATTAACAGCAGATTTTGATATGATGCTTGCATAGGCACGTTCCACTGATTGTGTGTCATTCAAAGTTAGAGTTTTACATCTTCCGAGAAGTCCTGTAGAGTTTTGGCAGTATGACGATGGGATGCTGAGTGTCAGTCCAAGACTATTACGAACTCGAACTGAAAAGCGGATTCCATCCGGTCCCTTGATGACAAAGGTGTCACTCGATACGCGAACCATTACAAAATAGGGAGAAAGGCTTGTCAAATGATCAATGCGAACAAGATTACCGTTGATCCAAACAAATGGCATAACTATTGAAGTGCGAGGTATGGCAGTGATGGGTGCTCGAATGGCTATAACGATGTCTTTGTAGCTAAAAGAGAAAGCAACCGTACATGAGGTTGACCGAATGTATTGAGTACTGCAAAATCCACGCCGTATCTGTATGACAAAATTATTAATAAAGGAACGTAGAAGGTAGAATTCTCCATGCAAGCGATGAATGAAAGATAGGCCAATGAATGAATTAAAATACCCAGAGTTTCCAGCTAATGCTATTTGTATAGAGGTAAATGATGTTCGCTGTATACCCACAGAAAACTGGCATTCTCTACCGTACCAACCAGAGCTGCACGAGGTACAGTTTTCCGACCCTTGCCAATTAATGTGACAGCTACAGCTGCCTGTTTCTTTGACGCAGCGTCCATGATTAGCGCAGGTCTTTATTGTGCCTCCAGGACACGTTCGTGAACAATCACTTCCCCAGTATCCATAAAAACATTCACACTCATTCCGGTCAGTTCTCTTCGGTTTACCAAAAACACACTTAACATTACATCGGTCACCAATCCAGTTGGGGAATTCGCTTTCTGGAATGCTATTACACAGACTTCTTGCCGGCCAATAGGAGAGGCTTAGGATCGATTCACAGTGATCTGCGAAAGTTATGACTGAGCTTAGGGAAGCTGACAATGTCCCCACAGTACCAACATCATGGATGCACAATAGGTAATGAAACTGGAGCTCTGACATAAGACTTCCACATAATGTGCGTAGGTCACTCTCATAGAACAGTTCGAAGCAAAAGGCTTTCCCGATATTTTTGAATGTTTCATTGTTATAATGAGGTGTTGCTGTTAGGCTGAGGTTAGTTTTAACATCTGCGTCTGAGTATATCCAGGTTGGTTGCTGCCATGGTACTCTGGGTAAATACAAATGCTCATTATTGACTGGATCATGGATAACATCTCCTTCACCTTCATTTAACTTCCACAGTGATGCAAGGCTAGGGTGAGTTGGGAGGACATTCATTTTAAAATTCTGCTGTATCAAGACTGGATCAAATGCGCGATGCCATACTCTTATTTCATCAATAACTCCAATAAAAGGCGTTTTTGTTTGTTCTTCTGTTTCTCCTGGAGAAAGTTCCCATTGACCAAGAGAAAATATTCCACCAGAGATGAATGGATTCTCTTGAAGGCTAAAATTGATTCTTTTCACTAGGCCTTTGTAGTCGAAGTGGTATATTTCCAGAATCATTGTTTCATAATGCCAAACGAGTGACACATGGCTCCAGTAGTGAAGCTGAATTACTATTCCAGTATCTAAGACTTCATGCCCAAAGTGTATTCTGATGGTAGTATCAACAACCAAGGCCAACGTCTTTACATTGGCATAGCATGCAATAGTTCCTTTGTAATACATGGCCTTGAATAAAAGTTCTAATGTAAGGTCGGAATTGTTTACAAATGCCCTGAAAATGGTTCCAGATGCTCCTGTGTTGTTAAACATAAGGGCATAAATGCCACCGCTTGGTTCCCTGGTCTCTTTGTACAAACCGTGCTCCAAAACAAAAAGGGTATCATTGGTCGAAGGTACAAGTTTATTGGCGAGATGGTTATTGATATGTTGTTGAGTGGTATTAGTAGGTAAGTCGGCCAGGTCGTTTTCAGAGAGTCCATCGCAGGAACCTAGAAGACCAGTCGAATTGGCACAAACAAGCTTTTGTATTTCAGCATTAAAGCTAAGATATCTTCCTTCTACACGTATGCGAATGATAACGTCCTCCCTCAATGCGATGGCATACCGATTACGTGAATCAATCCAAAACCTTAGTCCAATATGCACAGGGCCTATATTCGTTAATACGCCTGTAATAGGGAATGCCAAATTGTTGATCCAGATTACGGGTAGTTTGCCGGTAGCATAGGGTCCATGAAATGAGACTACTGTATCAAAAATTTGAATGGCTATTGCATTGATGCAGACCGACTGAAGCAAGCAAGGAACTTGTCTGATTTGGAGAGAAAAATGCATTACAGCAGAATGTATGACATAAAACTCTCCAAGAGACAGGAATGCGAAGCTTACTCCATCGAACGTTACATATCTTCCACCATGTGATGCAACAGAGTATGACATTCTTAAATTAGGAATCGACGATATGGCAACAGAACAATCGCTTCCAATCCATCCCGCCGAGCATGACCTACAATCAGCAGTTCCTTTCCAGTTTTCTCTGCAAACGCACTGACCATCTATCGGGTTGCAGTCGCCGTGGTTGTTGCAAGGGTTAGCCGCACCTCCTGGACAAACATTAGTGCAGTCACTTCCAAAATATCCTCGGTTGCATTTGCAGACATTTGGAAGTAATCTTAGACCATGATCGCACTTTTGGTTGCACTCAGGGCCATACCACGTTGGGAAGATGGACACAGGAAATTCGTTGCAAAGGGGTTTAGCAGGCCACACATCAAGATTGAATACGCTTTGACAGTAATCCGAAAGTTTGATGATAACTTCCAATGAGGCATGAATCTCTCCAGAAGAGGCTATTTTTCGAAGACATGATCTATAATAAAATGTCAATGCTCCTTGACCTAATCCACTGCAAGATCTATAGAGTGGACCTTGCATCAAGAGACGATGGCAAAATGTTTCAGAATCATTTTTGAGTATGTCATTCGCAAACTCGTAAGATGGTGATACCTCAAAGAATGGCGAGTTTAGTTTAGCCTCCGAAAAACGCCAGGACGGGACCATCCAGGGTGTTGTTGTCATTACAAAATTTACATTCCCCATTGTGTCGATTGGAAGTGTTCCTTCACCCTCGTTAAACCTCCAAGCATGAGCGAGGTCGTCTGTTTTTACGAGCACTTCTCTTTTTCTTATTTGCTGAATTAAAGCTGGATGAAAATGGCGAGTCCAGATGCGCACTTGATCTATGAAACCAACAAAGATGTCTTTTGGCTGGGAATCAGTTCCGTTTATTGGCGGAATCCACCCTGCTAAAGCTAAATATCCACCAGGTTCAAAAATATCAATCCCAATCGCGATTTTTATGTCCATCCTTTGAACAACGTCGTTGGAAAAGAAATAATACAACTGTAGCTTGCTTGTTGACTTTTTATGTACTAAAGTGAGCTGCGTCCAAGCATCCAACTCAATAGTGATGTTGGTTCTGTAAATCGTATTCCCAAAATGAAGGCTGATCTTTCCTCCCAATGTTGTAATGTAAAATGTTTTAGATTTGCTGTACGAGAAAATGAGGCCATTGTGTTGGATATTAATCATCAGGTCAAAAGTGATTTCATTGGAAATAAAGGCTTGGGTAATGACAGTAGATGTTATTACAGCAGTATGGTTAAAGTGAAGTGCATAACCAGTATTGGCTTCCCTGAATTCTGTCACTTCTTTGTACGAGTAGACGAAGAGACTCCGGCATGGTAGAACTTTAAACTTTGTTGACATCTCCGTAAACTTTGTTGTTGTAAGATTACTACGGTTGGTTTGGGTAAAACGGCGAGAATTGTTTATCTGTTGATTTATTTCTTGAGAACAGTTTTTAAGTGGTTCGAAGGATTCAAACAAAGTTAAGGTATCTTGATTGCAATTGCCAAGAAGCCCAACAGATGTGTTACACAAAAGAGAAGATGCTCTGACATCGAAGTTTAGGTAACGTCCCTCTACTCTAATCTTGATCGTAATATCGCGATGCCTGAATTCATACAGCCCAAATGAAATTCGTACGAACACGAACCCATTAACATGAACAGACGGTKGGTTGACATCAATATCAATAACTTTTCCATTAAGCCATGTTATTATTGCTTGGTCTGATGTATAGGGCCCATGGATGACAAATGTATGCGAGGAAATGCGGAGTGCTATAGAGTTTATACAAGATTCAAGTTCAAAACAAGACACTAATCGCACTTGCATTTGGATGGATAGGATATATGAGTACACCAAGTAATATTCTCCTGTTGTTTGGATAACCAGATTCACACCTGTAAAAGTGCTTACGTAGCCTCGAATGCCCATACTACTTATTCCTCGTACGCGACCCAAAAAGATAACTTCAGTTATCGCCATAGAGCAATCMTTGCCAATCCATCCCGTTGAACAGGTAGTGCAGTTTTTGCCTCCTCTCCAGTTAATTTCGCACAGACATATTCCAGAATCTATAGTACAAGAGCCATGCCCGTTGCACGTGTTGGAAGCTCCGCCAGGGCAAATTCCAGAGCAGTTGTTACCAAAATAGCCTTGTCTACAAACACACAAGTCTGTTGTGACATTCGTGGGTCTTCCAAAAACGCAAGGAGTTGTACAGTTTATTCCTATCCAGTTAGGGAACGCTTTTCCAAGAAATCTATTGCATAATGGTTGTGCTGGCCAGAATTCCAATCTTAGAGCAGCTTGGCAGTAGTCGGACAAAGCTATAATGAACTGTAAAGCTTGCGTTTGATCACCAGAGCTAATAATTGACTTGATGCACGCCCGTAAATAAAAATTTAAAGTGATGTTATCCAAGCTAGAACATACGTGGAAGATAGGTCCACGGAAGATGAATGATACACAGACCTCATTCGCAAGGCGAATTAGAGTTTCGTTCTTAATGTTTGGGTTTTCGGCAGGAACATAATCAATAGGAGCATCAGAGAATAACCATGTTGGGGTCCTCATAGGATATTTAGGAAATAATAAATGGTTTTGGGATATGTCATCTTTGGCAATGTAGCCTTCGCCGCCATTAAATTTCCAAAGGCCTAAAAGTATAGAACTGTCTGCTTGTACATTTGCTGAAATACTCTGTGAAATGCTCGCATAGTCAATCGCTCTTTTCCATATGCGTATCTCATCAAGGAACCCTTCAAAGATGTGAGATACTCTAGAACTAAACGCTCCAGAAGATGGTTGCCATAATCCAATAGCGAAAGTACCTCCATTTTCAAAAGGATAGATCCCGATTTCAAAATTCCTCCCCTGGGTAACTCCAATGGATGTCGTGATATAAATAGATAGTCTTAGTTCCGCGCGCAAGAATATCAAAGTTATCATGTTCCACTTGTTTGTTTCTGTGGCTATTCCAGTGTCATACACTTCGTCTCCAATACCAACTTTCACAGTCACATGGTTGCTGACGTAGAACGTAACGCGTGCGGCATATGAAATGATGACTCCGCCACAAACATGAGGGTCACATGATTTAACAAGTAGTTGAATGGTGAAGGTGTTGGAATCAAATAAACCGACGATCTCATTCGACACTGCTGCGGAAAAGCTGAAGTACAGATTGTATATTCCACCATAAATTATCCTCGTTTCCTTGTGAATGGTTTCATCTAAAACGATTTTGGAGCCTAGGTTCACACTGAGGTTGGTCTTGATAAAACTGTCTACAGACAATCCTGATTTGTTGTCTTTACCAACTGCTTCTAATACTGATTTGATCGACGAGTTTGCGTTGAGATCGCAGGAGCCACATAAGCCTTCAAAATCTTCACAGTAACTTCCAAAACTTCGGGCCTCGACAATTAAGTACCGATCATAAAATGTTGATTTAATTGATAGCTGACCTCCTACGTGTATATTCAGGCTGTTCAAAGTTAGTTGTTCGATTGAAAGGTCTTTAATATTAATGTCATCGGAAATATGAAATCGTTTTCCATTGAGGTGTATACTAATATCACCACTGTTCACGTACGGGGCATGGACACTTAAATCTTCACCGTTAACCGATAGGGCAAATGCATTGAGACAAACAGCTCCAGATCTACATGGTACCTGACGGACTTGAACTTGAATGGTGGAAGACGAGATTAATTGAAATTCACCGACACTTGAAAAACTAAATAGGGAGTTGTCAAATCCTATTACGTTCCCATTTTCCATGATTGTACACAATTTTGTTGATGATATATTTTTTCGGAGTGCAATTTCACATGTTTCGCCGATCCAGTTAGGCGAGCAAGATGAACACAGTTCATCTCCACTCCAATTAACCTCACATTTGCATCTACCAGTTTCTACGTCGCACTGTCCATGGCCAAAACATGGGTTTACAGCCCCTCCGGGACACTCTTCCGAACAATTCTTGCCCCAGTATCCATAATCACACTTGCATTCACTTTCTAAGTATCGTCCATATACACATTTGATTGTACAGTTTTCCCCTACCCAGTTGTCGTAACGCCCACTTGGGTAAACGTTGCAAAGATTTTGACCAGGCAATGATGTTAAATTGAGCGCTGCCTGACACTCGAAAGCCATCTGGACTGTCGATTCCTTGGCTGATTCCAGGGATTTTGAAGATGCGACATCGACGACGCAAGATTCGTAATAAAAGTCAGCGTTACCAGTGGCGTTGCCGCATTCCTCATTAAATGGACCTTTTAAGAATATATTTTGACACAATTCCTTGGCTTTGCTTTCTAACGACTTGTTGGGGAATATTGCAGCAATGGTACTTGTTAGAGAGATATTGATGTCTGATGRCATCCATGCTGGACTTATCCAAGGTGGCAATGGAAATAAAATGTCAAGAGAACCAACAGAAGATGAAGCCACGTAGCCTTGACCTTCATTGAAATTCCAATATGCAGCTATTCCTGGCAAAGTCAGTTCTACACTAACACGCCACATCTGTTGAATCATTACGCCATCGAACCGTTTGTTCCATATGCCCAATTCATCCAACCAACCAACAAATCCAGGAACATTAATGGCAATGTCTGTTACCTTCCAGATTGCTATTCCGATCGAGCCACCAGGGGTAAAAACTCCCAGTCCAATATTYAATACTCTCTTTCTTACAATTCCTTGGGAGGAAGTTCTGTAGAACTGAAGCAGACCTGAATCTCTTCTATATACTAGGGATAYTTGATTCCATTTTAACGTTTCAAGGGTCAAAAGCGTGTCGTAACTYTTTAAGCCTACATGTACTTGTAAAGTTCCATTAAGTACTGTCACTGCGAATGTGAAGTTGGCTGCAAAGGAGATTATTGTCCCTCCTTGACCTATRGGATCTTTAGCCATCACGTAAAATTGGATCGACACGAAGTTGCCAACAAATATATTAACAAGTGGAGGAGAAACCAATCCAGTGCCATTAAARAACAAGCAGCTACCCGCACTAGTGAGAATTTGTTTTTCTCCAGCAATTTTCAAGATGTTAATGAAGCCGCTKTCGTTTCTAGGAACCATCCATTTCTTTACAAAGGTGTCTACATCAAGCTGGGTAATTTGAGATATATTGTATGATGACGTTATGCTAGATTCKGAGCAATTCGAATTGGSTTCGTGCCTTCCACATTGGCCAAGTAGACCACAAGCATCGTAGCATGCAGATGGATTCATTCTCATGGTGATGACAAAGTGTGTGCTCCGATGGTAGATAATCAATCGGAAATTCTCAGGTCCAGTAATTTCGTACGATTCGTGAGATACTCTTTTGAAAAGAAAACCAGTGGAGCCCAGTCTTACCCATGTATCTTGATTTATTTGAATTCCGTTGCTTGAGACAAAGACTTTGCTGGTGACTCCGTAGCTTGTGTGAATGGCAACACTTGTAGATCCAGMTCTTACGAATACACAGCGGGATGCACTATAACTGCCTTGTYTTAGTTGACGAACTTGAATGCTTATGCCAAGGCGTTGAGACGTAAACGCATGAAATTCACCAGCTACAGCCACATTGATCTTTATTCTGTCGAGTGTTACGTAGTGACCGCTTCCAGAAATAGAAGTAACAAAGGTACCGGGTATTATTGGACCTATTGATATTGAGCAATCAATCCCATGATATCCTGGAGTGCATACGCTACAGTCTTCTTTTCCTCGCCAACGGAAGTCACAAACGCACATGCCTGTCGTGGATAGGCACATTCCTCGGCTATAACATTGATTGGAGGGTCCTCCRGGACAAAAACTGTCACAGTTATCTCCCCAAACGGCTTTGTCACAGACACACTTGAGAAGCGAATCCAACGAACGATAACCGTATACACAAGGCTGTTCGCAATTATTTCCAATCCAGTCAGTTAATCTAGAATTCTTAAAGATCGCAGTGTTGCACATTAATTGTGCTGGCCATATTGTAAGGTTCATTGAAATCTCGCAAGAGTCGGCAAAAGCGACGACAGTTTCAACACCAGCATCAACTTCATCGTAGCTTATTATCGTCTGGATGCATGCTCTGTAGTAATAACCAATACCTCCTCTGCCAAGACTACTGCAAGCACTTCCTAGGGCGGAGTTGACAATGTAGCTGTTGCACCATMGTTCTGCTTGAGGTCTTATACTTTGTGATGGCAAAACATCTATTGAAAGGTGCATTAATGCCACTGGGGCTGAACTGTACACCCAAGTTGGGGCATTATCCACATTTGCAATGTATAAGTGAACTTCAGATTGAATGTCGTGAACAACATTTCCATGTCCTTCATTMAATTTCCACAGAATTGCCAGATATGGAGCTKTACGTTGTACGTTCATTGTCCAGCTAAGTTTGACATCCGAAAGCGTGAGCTCGCGATTCCATATTCGAACCTCATCTATATAACCAACAAAACCCTGTAAGCTTACTACGTCCCAGTCTGTATAACCYGGAACCCACTGCCCAATTGCAATACTTCCTTGTGCAACATAAAGACCTTCCTTTATGGTGTGGGTATAGTGAAAGACACCTCCAAATGCATYGATAAAATAAAGTGATATTTTTCCAGTAGGGCGATAGTAGACCAAGGAAAGCTGGTTCCATTTTCCAAGATTTGGCCTGACGCCTGTGTCCCAGACTTGGCTTCCTTGGCGCACTTTGATAGTGTTTTCGATATATACAGCCATAGCTGTGAATTGACTGTAGGTATAAAGGGTGCCGCTATTGCTTACATCAGTTTYGAATAAGATTTCTGCAGACACGTATGGATTGGTGAAGATTCCAGGTAACAGGTCTGTTTCAATACCAACTCCTTTAAACTTTAGTGCGTATTCAGCACCAGTTAWTTTTTGCGTTTCCTCGTATCCGCCAAATCCGTAAATAAAGAAACTATCTCCGGACTGTACTCTCCACATCTGTTCTAAGGTTTTTCCATTTGTTGTATTTAGGTCGTTCTGTTGATTGCCATCACAGTTTCCGCATGCTGCTTGCAGACTTTCGCACAGAGATCCAYCAACCCGACTAGTTATTGAAATACGAGTTTCAATCACTCTTATTTTGACGAACAAACTTGTTRATTTACTGGAAATGGTATATACTGTAGAAGAGCTGTATTCCAGGTATGTATTTGATGCCAAATGAATTTGTTTACTAACAACCTTGAGAATCTTGTCGTTAAACCAAAAAACAGGCTCTCCATTTTTATTGTAAGGGGCATGCATAGTTATTTTCCAGTCGTTTCTGTAWGAAAACGCTACTGCATTAATGCATCTTGCGTGTCCATTTGAGCATGATATTTGTCTTATTTGTGCCTTTAGCTCAGCGTTATGAATCAACCAAAATTCACCAACACCAGAGAAGCTGAAATGCGCACCGTCAAAACTTGATAAATGACCACCACTAAATACTGAACAGGATGGAAAATTCTTGTTGGACACTGCTACTGAACAGTCTTTCCCTTCCCAACCTGGTGTACAGTTACTRCAGTCTTCAGATCCTTGCCAGTTGAGRTCACAGGTGCAGGTACCCCTTAGCGTGTCACATTTACCATGGTTAGTACAAGGTTGTAGAGCACCGCCAGGACATTCTTTTACGCARCCCGAACCCCAGTAACCTTGATCGCAGACACAAGTACTTTCATTGATAGCATMAGCTTTACCAAATACACAGAGAACGTCACATTTTGGTCCAATCCAATTACTACCAAACGGAATCACATGGCATAAATGTTGTACAAGTCGTAAGCTCGTTATTCCAAGTTTGTTGTAACAGTAGTCGGCATAAAGCGTTACTGATATGTATGCGTTGTCAACAGAGCCSGAGGTTTCGATATCTTTAAGACAAGAGAGGTAATAAAACTGGATATGAGCTCGGCGAAGATATAGTCCACAGCTGCTTGCGATTTTGTTGTCGTAAATAAGTTTTCTGCATATCTGCAATGCTAGTGTTTCAAGGGTCTTGTTCAAAAATGTCKTTGTCATCCCAAGGTCAAAAATAGGCGAAACATAAAGTGCATATGAAAATGTCCAAGCCGGTCTACGACTTTCTGCTTCAGGTAAAGTGAAAACGTTGTCTCCGTATGTTACGCTTCTGACTTCTCGTCCTTCTCCTTCGTCGAAAAGCCATGCCGRTCTCATTCCCCCAATGGTTGCTTTTATAATCATGTAGAAACTTTGTCGCACTTCCACAGCGTTTAGTTGTACCTCCCAAATACGCAAGTTATCAATACTTCCAAAAAATGGTTGAACCGGCACGCCAGTAACGTGAAACGTTGTAACAAACCATTGGCCAAGCCAAAGCTGACCGCCTGGTAACAGCTGGTTATAACCAATAAAAAACTTTCTCGTGTACATTACTCCTTCTGTATTCAAATGATGGTAGGTAACGATTCCTATAATGAATAAGAGAAAAGAAAATATATCATGATAACGTCTTGCGACAATCACGCACTATTATCGCTATTTTGGGGTTCGAGACTAATGTGAGGGTCTTCTTTACAAATACGAGCATGCGTTGACTGTGCATACTGCACAAGGCGAAACCAAATGTAGCATGAACTTTCAATGTCATCGTACAGTATTTGTAAATAAAGCATCTATGAARTGGTGGAGGGTGTCACGGAGATGTAAGACAGCTTAAATCAGCATTATCTCGAAGAACTGAGAGTATTCAAGGGATTTTAAAAAATTACAACAACAAAACATGAGGTTGGCACATTCCCTACAGAATTTGTTTTGGATTTCAAATGATGCATTGCGATGCAGTCTAGTGCGAAAAAACTGAGTAGCGAAATATATCCAAGAGAACAGCCTAGAAATAATTGATGGCAAAGAAAGCGCTAAAAGGCAAATGCAAGGTCCGAGCATTACTGCGTAAGGGTTGTATTTRAGTCCAAATAAAAAATTATCTCGTTTAAGAATTGAGGGAAAAATTATCCGATGAAAGCTAGTGATTTTTGGCGGCTTTTGAAAAAGACGTCACAATAGTGATTTCTGGTTTTTCGGAACGTTTCTCCAGATTTTTTGATTTGAAAAGTTTTTATGATTACTAGTAAAGATTTTAGACTGGTATTCAGGTCAACTGTTTCAAAATTGTTGAAGGTAGACTTTCAAATAAGGTGCGTTTTTCACGGTCGGTTTTGGGCGTCGTATAGKAGTCAAAAAATTAATTGAAAAAGCTTTGTCCACGAACCTTAACCGTGGATTTTAAAAGAACATGCATATATCAAAACAATAACTTGCTTATATACAGGCCAACATTTTCTACTGATGTAKCAATGATTGCCTGGTAATTTGTTACAGGAAAAACACTTTCGTCTTGTAAGTACTGAATACTGCATATTACACAGTCTTCAAGGTTTTTATGTAAATTATAGAAAGTCGTTTAGAAGCCAAAACCATACCAAACTAACCGCATTCCCACCCTTATAATATAGTCAATCAATTCCTTATTCAGTACTTTATTTCAACATAGGATTATAGTCTGGAAATATCCTACTCAGTRTGCAGTATTCAGTATTTACACTGCWGTAAGACGTTCATTTTAGAATGGATGAACCAGAAAAAAAGTTATTTTAAAAGATTGTGAACTAAATTATCTTATCCTTACCTGATAATCGCTGATAAACGATTGATATTTGGTACCATGAGTTTAGTTGTAASACTCCAGCCGTATCGAACACATTTGCTCCAAGGTAGATTTTGACTGTTGCATCGTTGACAATAGCAAACGTATTTGTTSTGGCGTACGACATGATGGTTCCACCAACTGCGCTGAGTTTGATAAACAGCTGAAGAGTCAAATCTTTTGCTCCATTGAACTCGACATTCATAATGTTTGTTACTGAGCCCTTGAATTGTAAGCAATATCCTGACGTGCTTATGGCCCTCTTCTCGTGATAAGTAGTCGAATCGTATATAAACATAGAATGCTTAGCTTGAACACTCCATTGTGATGTTAATTTTCTTATGATGAGATCTTGAGTTGCATTCTTACCCCAGAAGGTTGTCCCATTAGAGTCAATGAAGTCATTTTCTACATTCTCATCGCACGATGAGCACAGTCCCGTAGCCTTCTTGCACAACTTTGACTCCGCTATGATTTCAAATGACAAATATTTCTTCCAGGCTTTCACTCTTAGCAAGGTCTTGTTTCCGAGGGTCAAGTTGTTCGAAACCTCAAATGTGCTGGGAGAGGTCTTAATAAAAACGAAGTCTTCGTTTAGCTTAACGGAAGCTGCTTTTGTGAGAACTCTGTTAACCCATACCCGCTCTGATCCAGTGTTGTTCAAGGCTGCTCTAATGGTAACATTTGCTAGGCCAGTTCTCACAGCGAGAGACGTAATACAAAAGGAACTATTACCACAAGGAGTTTGGCGTATTTGAACTTCAAAATCCACAGTTTTGATGGCATAAAATTCACCAGAAGTCCCGAAGTTAAAGGCAGCCCCATCATAAGTAGCATAGTGTGAGACGCCATAACCCTGGCAGTATGAGATCTTGATAGAGGCATTACCAGTTGCATTGGAAACTGCAATAGAGCAGTCTTTTCCAGTCCATCCGGGAAGACACTTGGTACAATCGCTTGATGCGTTTGCATTAAGGGGACAATTGCAAGTTCCAGTTTCTGGATTGCATGAGACAAGACCATTGCAAGGTTTGTTGTAACCTCCTGGACATTCATTACTACAGTTCTTCCCATAAAATCCATACTCACATTCACAGATGTCAGCTTCAAAAGGATGCTGTAGGCCAAACTGACAATAACGTTCACAGTTGGATCCAACCCACTCTGGGAAGTTGTACCTTCGGACATGTTTGCAGATATGCTTGACATACCACGACGGTCTTGACGGTTCTATGAATGTACAGAAATCAGAAGCCACCAACATAACCCAGTAGGCACTATCTAAGTTTCCAGTTCTTGATACGGTTGTTAGGCAAACGCTGTAGTAGAACATTAAAAGACTTGGAGTCAACTTAGGACAAGACGATCTAATATTAGAATCAAGAACGACTTCTGTACACTTTCTCTCGAYGTCTGTGTATGGCAACAAAATATCGAAACGTAAACTATAAACTTTTGCTTTATCAACAGAGAAAGGAGAAATAGGAGCAGTAGAATACACCCATGTTGGTGGGCGCCAGATTGAAGACGGTAAATTTATGTGAGCTGTGGAGATGCARTCTTTTGCAATACTTCCCTGCCCTTCATTAAACTTCCACAAACTTGCAAGGTCCAGTGAATGACGGCAGTCCAAGTTGACTTTCCAGTTAGAAGAGATTGTCTGGGGATCGAGTTTTTTGTTCCAGATGCGCAGTTCATCAAGCTCTCCAACAAAACTTTCTGGAGGGGCTCTACCTCGACCAGTAGGGGATGGACGCCAATATCCCAGGGCAAGTATACCTCCCGGTTCGAAGATGTTTACCTCGTTAACTATTGGAAAGTTTCGGCGGTTGACTCGTCCACTCTCATCGATGAGATAAAACTGTACTATTTTGTTTGTTTTTGACCATACAATACTGATGTGATTCCATTTCCCTATTTGAGGACCAACTAATGTTTCAAGTACGGTATCTGCGTACTGTAATTTAACTGTTCCAGAAGTTATTGTAACAGCAAATGTTTCAGTTGTTGTGTACGATATGACTGTTCCTGACGTTCCTACAAGTTTTATCATGAATTCGACTGTAATGTCAGATGATGAAAAACTGTAAATCTCTCCTGTTTGTACACCAGTATTGTTGAATAAAAGCGAATAGCCACCACCGCTCAAATATCTTTCTTCATGATATCCGTTAMGCTCATATTTGAACAGACTACTGATAGGCAATACTTTCCAAGATGGGCCGAATACGTCATGGATATATGCTTGATCTGGGATTYGCTCTTGGCTGCTAGAATTTAAAAAGTCATCGAATGGTTTGTTGTTGCAATTTCCCCACAATCCTGTCCCATTAATACAATATGAATTATTAGCCACATGCATGTGTACATCGAGGTAGCGATCAAACATTCGAATATCAATACGTATACCAAGCTTACTAACGAGAGCAAATCTCAGTAAAGAAACTCTCTTCAAAATGAATCCATAATTTACTGGGCCAACATTCACCTCCAACGCAAAGACTTGAATTCCATCTAAATACACTATTGGCTTTCCATCGGTTGTAAATCGRGAATGGATCAGAAGCACTGTGTTACTGATTCTAAATCCAACTGCGTTGATGCAGGAACTTGATAAAAAGCACGTGATCATGCGGCACTGAACCTCGAAAGGAATGGTAGGACTGGTGAAGAGATGATATTCCCCGTTTCCAAGAAAACGATAAGCTACTCCGTCCAAAGTTATGAAATTCCCATGCCCAAACAAAGCAGCAGTATGGTTATTAGGATTTTGTACGACGATGGAACAGTCTAGTCCTTGCCATCCTACAGTACATGTCTTACACGATTCATCTCCTTGCCAGTTTATGTCACAAGAACACGATCCACTAGTTGAATTACAGACGCCATGTAGGTAACAAGGAGCATCACGGCTTCCAGGGCAAGTATTTTCACATGCTTYCCCCCAGAAACCATCTTTGCAGACGCACTTTTCATAGAGCTGAGAGTTCTAAATTAGAAAAGTGAAGAAAAATAAGTTGATGGAAAAAACCAATCCAATCTATATAAATTAACAAAGCTTCTATTTTTGGGATACTGAACCATAAAAAAAAGTAATTTACCATCCTAAAGTTGGTCCGAATATAGAAAACGATGTGTCCTGGACCATAAAAAATGGGCCTCAGCCTAACGATCTCGGTCCGTATATTCAAAGCCTTGAAGACCTCGGGCACAGTTTTTCCCTATTCGGACAGACTTAAGGATGGAAATAACCTTTTTGCATTTGGCATTCCAATACTGAACTTAATGAACGTGATGGCAATATCGAAGCGTACTTTATTCTAATTATTTGGTTGTGACGTAATTATTATTTCTTCGATCATTATTGATAAAATCCAGTATACCGATTTAGGTAAAAGTAGAATTTTAAAAAGACAAGCAAGAAAGAGACATAACAYTTCATGATATGCAGTTTGTTTCCTGTAAAATGCCAGAAGAAGATACTTACATTTCGTCGAGAGTCTATTTCGTTATTGATGCAAGCTTTGCTGTTCACCATAGACGAGTTTACATGGACTGTGATGCGGTGATTTGACAAAGGATAAGCGAGGACCCAGACCACTGGTAAATCATTGTCAAGCCTTTAATTAAAAGAAAAACCCAGTTAAATAATTATAAAATTCAATATTTACATAACAACAACAACAACAACAACAAAAGTAAATTAATTCTAATTCTTATTTTTATAAATTTGGTGCACGGACTAAACCCGCGAAACAAATACTAACTTTTAGTACTAAATGGTGATGAATAAACAAYAGAAAACAAAGGATTCTGTATGAAATAGTACTAATTAGCACTAATTAATGTTCAAGGATTTAGTGCGTGCACCCAAAAATAAAATAAATATACATACCAACAAAATATAATCATTTTGAAAATTTCCTATAATGATTTTTAAGATGTATTACCTAACTTTGAAGACTCTTTTGTGTAATCCTGGTGTAAATTTTGTCGGTTGTCCAAAGTTTTCATTAGTCAGCGGAACAAAGTTGCCGAATCCTTGTCCATTGGCTTTCCTTACGAAACCGTCTTGTCCTCCGGGAGTGATGACTAACTTGGGACGTATAAATCGGTTGTCTGGCCCTACAGGTATGTAGATGTTATGGTTGTTCACATTTTCATATCCAAACCATGCGAAAATTTCGCTGTTACTTCCGCGGGCTAAACAGTTCAATACCGGTTTAAGAAGCTTTATTCCCCAGTTTCCATCACGTGGATCACGATATTGAGCATTAGATTTTACACACTTAATGTRACATTCATCACCAACATGGCTACCATCACATATTTTACAATCAGGTAACGCCCATCCACTCATACATTGCTCACAAGTTGATCCATTCCAATGTCCATTATTATTATCGTCATAGCACGAACAGATGTCTCCATTTGGAACGGAAGCGTTGCCATGCACGCAATACACATCACAGCTTCCTTGCCACCCTATGTAATTAGTAACACAACGTTCGCATTCTGAACCAGTAAAACTTGTTTTACATCTTTCGCATGAGGATCCAGCAAATCCATGATTACAAACGCATTTTGGCTCTTCATTCAATAATGTACAATTTCCTCTGTCACTGCACATTGGAGATCCAGGACAGACAAGTTTACTACAGTCAGGCCCGTCGAAGCCTTGGTTGCATAGACATCTAGGAATTGGAGATGCGTCGTCTTTTACACAAACGCCGTGCTTACTGCAGTCTGGCTCTCCAGGACAATCCAAAGATTGGCAATTTTCCCCTTTTCTTCCCGCMKCGCACAGACACTTCGAATTATTACAYGATCCATGTCCTGAGCATTCGTTATCACATGARAGTCCTTGATAACATGGACTACATTTACAGATGGCACTATTTGGAGGATACTCTACACCATAGATGCAGGCGAGCTCACAGGCAGGACCCATGGTTTGATTGGTGCAGTTAACACAAMRWGGAGGATTGACAGAYCCATCGCATGYTCCTTTGTTATTACAATCTGGTGTTCCAGGACAGTCRGGAACATCACAGCCATCTCCYTTCCAGCCTTTATAACAACTGCACTGYTGGTTAACGCTGAGACAAACACCGTGTCCACTGCAATCTGAGCCTATTCCTGGACACCCAACTGTTTCACATTTCTCTCCTCGATAGCCACTTTGACATTGACATTTTCCGTTTACACATTTGCCATGTAGATCGCACTCYYTGTTGCAGTATACTCCWGTAAAACAACTATCACACTGACATTGTTTACCGTTTTGACKRTCAACAACTGTCCCATTGTAACATCTGGTACCGCAATCATTACCATAATAGCCTGCGTCACAAGACACACATACAGGAGGATCATGGTTCTTTCCATCACATACCCCGTGMCCGTTACAGTTTCCGCCTCCTGGACATTGTGGTTTATCGCAGCCATCACCAGACCATCCGGGATTACAGTAGCAAGAACCATCAGCTAAGCATGAACCATGTCCACTGCAGTCGGTTTTCCACCCTGGACATCCTTTTCTGTCACACAAAGATCCCCTCCAGCCATCGAAACCACAGTCACATGTTCCGTTCTTACAGTTTCCGTGATCGGAGCATTCTTTGTCACAAGATATTCCGCTGTAGCACGTTTCACAGTTACATATATAATTTCCATCGCTACTTTTGGTCGGAGTCCCATTCACACAACGAACRTCACAAGCAGCYCCCATCCAGCCGGAATTACAGGAACAATATGGTATCTCTGAGGCAACGCATTCCCCATTTCCGTTGCAGTCAGGTGTTCCCGGACAGTCAGGGATCTCACATCCTCTACCACTCCAACCAGTACTGCATTCACATTCTCCAGTGGCACTATTACAGGTACCGTGACCCGTGCAATCTGTACCCCATCCAGGACAACCTCTCTTCTCGCATCTAGGTCCCCGCCACCCTTCAAATCCGCATTGGCATGTGCCGTTTACGCATGTCGCATTTTCTCGACCAGAACAGAGTCCGTCGCAGTTTATTCCCGTGTAACATGGATCACAGTCGCAAAACCTTGGATCCTTTTTACTTTGTGTGCCGTTGAGGCAGGGGGTTTCACAYGCTATACCAGTCCAGCCTGTTTCACAGTTGCCGCAATATGGAGTCTCTGCTGGTATACATACTCCACGATTGTTACAGTCAGGGTCTCCAGGGCAGTCGGTTTTTTCACATCCAATCCCTTTGAAAAAAAAGATAATTCACTTAACTCTTACAATTAAGGAAAACATTTATCTTAATACCCTCAAAATACGACATGCAGTGCATTAAAAAGCCACTGGACTCTTGATTGGTCAACAAAAAGGTATAACTTTGAGTGTAAAAGTGACCTCTTATTATGATAGCGTTTGAATATATTTACTATTTAAAGACGGTACTTTATCATAAGCCTAAGCAGTTTATTTCAGTCATAGAATGTTTCAAGTCTTCTCACTTCTAAACTGGACATCTTCTGAAATAACACGTTTATAAAAAAAATTATTTATTTAAAAAAAAAAAAAAAAAAAAAAAAAAAAAAAACCAGATCCGCCACTCACATTGTATATTGTCAATTAAATGTGTAGGAGTATAATATCCTTTACTTCTACTACTAATAGACCTTTTTACCGATGGGACGGCCATCTTGAGTCCGTTTTAATTAAGACATTACAGGATATTTCCATCTTAATTTTGCTTTTTAATTATAATTTTTATATTTGTAATTTATAATACGACATATTTTTTTTACGACTTACCGCTCCACCCAGAATCGCAGATACATTTTCCAGCCGCACTCAGACACTGCCCGTGTCCCGAACAATCTTTTTTATATCCCGGGCACCCCTTCCTTTCACAGTGTGTTCCTCGCCATCCGTCAAATCCACACTCACAAACACCATTTACACACTGCGAACTTCGATTTGAGCATAGCATATTACAAGCAGGTCCGTTGTAGCATGGTTCGCATGTACATATATTATCTGTTGGAGATCCATGTTTACAAGGTAATTCACAGGCAACGCCCATCCATCCTTTARAACAATTACATTTAGGAAAACTACCTCCTTTAATAGGAGGCAAGCACGCTCCCCTACCGTTGCAGTCAGGTGTTCCGGGACAGTCGGGAATATCACAAGCTTTTCCTGACCAGCCTGAGTTACAAAGACATTTCAACGTAGCTTTGTTACATGTTCCGTGTCCAGTACAATCTAAAGGCCAGCCTGGGCAGCTAGGAATGGCGCACACATCTCCTTTGAAACCCTTGTCTTTGTCACAATAACACTTTCCGTTCTCGCATTTGCCATTCGACGAGCACTCAAGATTACAGCCAACACCGGAGAAGCATGGAGAGCATATGCATCCTGATATATTACCATAGTTTATTCCATTGACACATGGTGTTTCACATATCTCACCCGCCCATTGCCTATGACAGTTGCACTTTCTTGGGTTGGTATTACTACAGTCGCCATGTCCAGAACATGGCGGCGATCCAGGGCAGTCTAGAGTGTCACAGGCATCTCCTGTCCAGCCTGGATAACACTCGCATCTTTGGAGCTTTATGTTACAGAAACCATGACCTTCACAGTTTCGATCACGTCCAGGGCATCCAGGAAGTTCACAGTTTTTCCCAACGTAGGCATCGCCTGCTATGTTGTTACATTCACACTCTCCAGAAACGCATTCACCTTGTCCGGAGCATTCTATTTCGCATCCGCTTCCAGTATAACACGGATYGCAGATACAGCGTCCGTTTTCAGGGTTACCATGAACACACGGGTCATTACAGGCGGGACCCATCCATCCTTTCATACAGTTTGTGCACTCTGGCGTTTCTCGATTAGTAGTATTGCAGAATCCTCTGCTAAAGCAGTTTGGCGTGCCTGGGCAGTCTGGTTCATGACATCCAACATTACTCCAACCTTCCAAAGCAAAATATTATCTTTTTAATAAATAATAATCAAACTGTATGAAGCTATATGATTTATTATTTGCTAGTAATTCACATTAGAGCGAGCTATTTTTAGAACTAGGCAAGTTATTTCTTATAATGGTCAAGGATCTGTTTAAAGATAACAAAATAAGATTCAGCAAAACGAAAAGAGTAARCCATAATTTACCTGGATCACATATGCATTTATGATTACTGCTATCGCAAGTACCATGTCCAGAACAGTCCATTCCTCCAGCTCCTGGGCAACCAGGGACCTCACATAGAGACCCCCTCCATCCAGCTAACGTATTGCATTCACACTYGTTGTTCTTGCATGTTCCGTGTCCACTGCACTGGATATTGCAACCTATTCCAGTATAACATKCATCGCATTGACAATTCCCACTATCCATAGGAACCTGGCTACCGTGGACGCATAAATCTTCACAAGCAGTACCCATCCATCCTTTAGAACAATTGTTGCATCGAGGGGGATCCAAAGTGGCATTGCAGAAACCTAAATAGCAAATGTTTGCACCCATCAAACTAATAGCAKTGTGAACGTTGATAAGACACGTTCACTCACCGTACAAATAATAAACCTGCACAGCTTATGCTTATTTTTATAGCTTATCAATAAAWCTGTATTTGTTTTGCTACTTTATACGATAAATCGACTTTGCTATGCTTTATAGAATTCAATCGGATTCAAGGACTTTCAATATAATTTCAAATGATCTTGGCTTCTTAAAAAGAGTTTATATGTATTATTCGAAGACAAAAATGAAGTTGGATATCAGAAAAAACATTTTTTATTAAAATATGTTACCTCGATCTGCACAATCTGGATTACCAGGACAGTCAGGAATTTCACAGCCATCTCCTCTCCAGCCGTTTCGACAATCACATTCATGAGTTGCGCYGTTACACTCTCCATGATCCGAACAATCAGATCCAATACCTGGACATCCTGGGTTATCGCAATAGGTGCCACGCCATCCACGATTACATTTGCAKACACTGTTTACTATTGTACCATGTCCAGAACATTCACTGTTGCATCCYACTCCAACCCACCCTGGTTCACATACGCAGTTTCCACTRTCCATTGGAACTTGCAGGCCATGTACACAAGGATCTGAACAAGCAGGTCCCATAAAACCTTTGGAACAGTTTGTGCACTTAGGAGGATCAAATGACGAATTACAGAATCCTCGGTTGAAACAGTTTGGGGTTCCTGGGCAATCTGGTATGTTGCATCCAAGACCAGTCCAGCCTTCGCTACATGTGCACTTATGAGTAGCGCTGTTACACTCTCCATGTCCTGAGCAATCAACATCGTCACCTGGACAACCTGGATTGTCGCATAAAATTCCGCGCCATCCAATATCACATATGCATTTTCCATTGAGCACTTTACCATGTAAAGAACATTCACCATYACARCCTACTCCAGTATAGCCAGGTTGACATACACAGTTTCCACTATCYATTGGTATTTGCTCACCAAACGTACAAGGGTCATTGCAMGCAGGACCCATCCAACCCTTCATGCATCTTTGGCAAGTTGGAGGATTAGTTGTTGCATTACAGACTCCACGATCGAAGCAATCAGGTGCCCCTGGGCAGTCAGGAATATGGCAGCCAATACCGGTCCAGCCTTCATAACATGTACAAGTATGTGTTATRCCGTCACAGTCCCCATTGCCGCTGCAGTCACCRTTTACACCAGGGCATCCAGGTATTTGACAAACTTCTCCGCGCCAACCTTTCAAAGGATCGCACTCACATTTGTTGTTTACACAAGCCCCACGATTCATGCAAAGTGMATTGCATCCTTTCCCTGCCCAGCATGCGTCACACTGACAGTTTCCACTATCCATTGGAACTTGAATCCCGTGAAGACACACATCAYTGCAAGCAGGACCCATCCATCCTTTTGAACAGTTACTACATACAGYCRTGCCATCTTTAATAATGCAAGTACCGCGATCATGACAATTTGGCTCACCAGGGCAATTAGGCTGACTACAATCTTCACCTTTCCATCCAGGGTTACAGAAACACTTTAAAAGAGCTGCATTGCATATGCCGTTACCAGAACAGTCATTTGGACATTTCGGTACTTCACAGAAATCTCCCTTCCAAGTAGAGTTACAGTTACAGTTTGAATTAACACATCTGCCGTGACCAGTACATTCAGAGTGGCAGTAGGTGCCAATGAAACATGGTTGACAAGCACAACTGTTACCAATACATTTTCCATTGCCAGAACAATGTAGTTCGCAATTTGCTCCATGATAACAAGGATCACAAACGCAATGGCCTGTTACACTACACCGTCCATGCCCATTACAGGTAGTATTTGGATGGCAGTCATGTTCACATCGGTATCCAGCGAATCCATCATCACACCGGCATGCTCCGCCGCTACTGCAGCTTCCATGTCCCGAGCATGTGGACTCTCGAGTGCAATKATAGCCACAATCAACGCCRTAATAACCAACATAGCAAGAACAAGCGTTTGTTACAGGGGAAAGAGTTCCGTGGCTGTTGCAAGTGGTTGTGGCACAAATTTGACCGTCTYYACCTCTTTCTCCCCCTGATCCTCCTTGGACATATCGGTGACGTAAAACATCCCTTCTTATTGGATAAGGTGAAAAATGGCGAATATGACCTCCACCTCCTCCTCCTCCATRAGCTGTATAACTTGATATCRGGCCGCAGGAATAAGAGGAGGTAGTACCATGTCCACCKYTAGAAAACATGTATCCGTGGCCGTCAAAATGATGGGCTGAGACTGAYATCGTGCCACCACTTCCACCTCCTCCAGATCTACTTGCCGAAGCGGYTCCGTCTGTTATAACTTTACCTTCCAGCTCAAGAAGATGATCTGTAGCCGAGAAAATTACTCCACCTCCTGAACCAACTGCTCCACTGCCTGGCAAATACGCTGTGCACGCTTCTTCGTATTTTGGACCACCTGTTAATTTAGAACAAAAGCGTGTTTAATTCGTACTTTTCATGAAACAATTTGAAACAATAGACCACGTTCTACATTTCAAAATTTCAGCACGATACAGAGACTCTCCTGAATGAAGTTTAAAAACCTTGCATTATACCTCAAAATGATCAGTAGATATAGTGTTTTAGATTGGATTATTGCCAAAAGGTAGGAACATCGCGTATATGGTACATTATGCGCTATGATTYGTTAATTTGCGGTCCATAACTTCCGGTATGGACCGAAAAATTAAATGGTTCACTGAGTGTACTTATAATCTTTTAAAACATTCAAATCTTCGTTATAAAAAWTATTTCTGTATRAAAATCGCMGAAAACAACTTAATAAATTATTAAAGATAACATTTCCCCCCTAAAATCATAGGCCAAATGTAAAACTTGCACCGATGTGAGGCTTAAGTTGTGAACAAAGGGATCTGGCATGATTTGTTGCGTTTGGTCTAAGGAATCTGAAAGTCACTTAATTTAATGACATTTAATGTTAAACTTATTATAAGCGACAATTCTTTCGATAAAGGCTCTACACGGTAATAGTTGAGCGATTTTGTACGACAAATAATACAATAAACAATAAAGTGGTATGGCGCAAATCATTACTTAATGCGTGTTACTTACCACTGACGGAACATGAACGGCAACCCGAAWTTCGTCCACTTCCTCCTCGTCCTCCATGACCAGCTCCTGCCAAGTTGCCGCATCCACTTTTATATCCCKGCCCACTCAACGCAGACCAGCCATTGTAAGAGAAATCTAGACGAGCATCGTATTCCACATTCATGARATTCGTGTTGATATTAGCCACATCTCCTTTTAATACCCCTGTGTAATCCAAACTAAGTTGATCAATATTGAGGGTAACAGTTTTTGCATTGATGTTTTTGGAGTAACTATGCACTCTTAGCAACGCTCCTTGCATAACTTTAACACTTTTGAATGAGTACGTCCCTGTATACTGACGACAAGTTTGACAAAACGATGATCCTTGTATGAATAGACTCCCATACGTGCTTTTCTGTAGTCTTAGTTCCTCAATTCCAAGAAGAACGCCCTGCACACTTAGTCCAGGAGACCTATTCCCTTCTATTACCGTCAATAATGGAAGATACAATTCTCCTGAGGTTGCAATCTCATAACTGACAGGAGCTTGAGTTCTTATGCTGTGTGTTTCTACATATACTCGAGTTMCAGGGTTCACACGAAATAAACCAGTCTTGTCGCCTGTGACTTTACGTACTGATAGTTCAACGACTTTACCATCAATCTACAAACAAACGAATACAAATTATAAGTCCTTACATATGTTCGATATCGTATTGTWTTTTTTTTTCTAAATTAAATGAAAAGGTCAATCTAGTTGTAATCCGCCTACATTAAACAATTTTTTACAGTCCATAAAGAGCCTGTTTTAATAATTTCTATGTTAATTTTAACCTTTGCAGCCCCTTTAATAAAAGCAGTTCAAAACTGTTCAACTTGCCTGTTTTGTTGCTAAGATTCCCCTCCTTACTAGCCTAATTTCATCAAAGTTATAATGAGTTGTCCCATCTTCTGCCAAGAACACCTGTGTGTCGGTGTTAGCGTTGTCCACCTGGAGGAGCCTGTGCACAGCATCACCAATAGTTGTTTCAATATAAACTGTTCCTGGGCTTCCATGAGCGGGATTCGATGAGCGATGACTTCTGCCTCCAATGCTCGAGATGAYACCTTGATAAATCAAGGCGTTGGTCAGAATTACAGCAATACGGCCACCTGATCCACCGCCATTGTAACTAGAACCTTCAAGAAAAAACAAAAACAAAAACAAATAGAGTTAATTTATATTTCTAAAAATGCTAAATGCTCACTAGCTGTTATTCTTTCCCATAATACGATAAACTTTACATTTCATTAACTACTGAATCAATAAAATAAATAAATATAAATAAAAAAAAGAGTTCGAAGTATCCTTARCAATAAATAATACGAGCGATCTCGAATTTTTTATACAAATAAACAAAGAACATTTTCGATCACAGTGTAAAACCAAAGTGCCACACATGAATAATTGCAACGTCGATATACGAAAAAAGGGGATAAAGCAAATACTTCAACTCAGTTCCCGGATGTAGTTCATGTCACTTTCAATGTTTTATTTTATTAAAAGCATACAAGTTGTCTAGATATACATACCTCCATTACTCTCGATTATGCCGAATCCTTTGAGAAACAACGTTTCGATGACAATAGCCCCGCCGCTTCCYCCCCCATTTGACTGCCCGGAATTCCCGACCCCATTACTTCTTATGATCCCGTCATTCATAAGATAGTATCCTGCGTTGATTTTCACCCAAGCACCGCCAGCTCCGTATCCACCACCACTACCAGGTAGTCGTGGCCTGTAGAGAGACCCATACTGTGTTGCATCTGGACTCCCACCACCAGCTGATGCATGACTTCCACCAGAAGTAGATGTCCCTTTTCCATTCCCTTGTCCCGCGGGATATCCTCCTCCATTCCCGTCTAGCAATCCATCTTTCTCGACGACGACGAATTGTGCTTCTATTGTCAGGTAGTTTGTTGTGATTAAGATTCTGGCACCTGCAAAGCATGAGAAAAAGCAATGGTGAAAAAATATTCATTACATGATACGTATCATTCTGAATTTCCAAATGATACACTCTAGATTATGTCGACAAAAATCGTTTTTTTATGGAACCCTTTTTGACATAAAAAAGTAGTTGGTTGTAATGAATATTTTTTTCCTTATTAAACCCTACAAGAAATTTTTAAGGAAAAAAATGATGCCCATCTATAAATTTCATCGAAAATTAAAAGGGAAAGGGTAAAGCCTGAATTAAATTTCAATAACATCCTTAAAACCATGGATGACAAAATKACTCAGTCCTTTTATCATCCATATTAAAACTTATATATACGATATTTTGAATATGAAAAGCAATTTATTTATTGTCTCTCTCTCTTTGATAGACCATTTGCAACAAACAGTCACATGCTGATACATTGCTTTGATAAAAAGTCAATTCAGCCTAACCTCCCTTGGGCGGAAAGGCTTTGCTAGATGGCAAAGCAGGGCTTGGTGGCACAGTGGTTAGCGCTTCCGACTTTTACTCCGGAGGTCAGTGGTTCAAGCCCTGCCTAAGGGRTAAAATTCGTAAGGTGTAAAAGCCTTTGCTCCCTACAATGGGGACTGTGAATCCCTCGTGGCTCGGATGACCACATTAATGACGGTCGTGTCTTAAATTTGGGACACAACAAACCCTGGAAGTGACACCCCTCAGTGCCAGCAATATAGAAATATTCATCATAACCACAGCTAATATACCAATGGAATGTTGCCGGGTGCTGTACGGAAAAACAAACAAATTGCTTCGTATATTGAAAGTATCTTGTAAGGGAAAAAAGTATTTTATAAAAGGTTTTGGATATGACATTAATACCCAGCAAAAGTTATCTACGTCAAGCCCGATTTTTTTTTTTGCCATCCAGTAAGAGCCAAGTGATTATTCCCTGCAAATGACGTGGTGAGTTATAGACCTCGATTACCTTTTTTAACTGTCAATTCGGCAAACTGCAGCACAAAACTAATTGGCACCGCAGTAACTGTAATAAGACCAGTGTTAGTTACAGTTACGATAGGGACATTTAATAAGCCTGGGGTGAACGGATTAAAAGGGTTGTCTTTATCCCACTGGGCTTCGTCGGGTAGGACGGCTGTGTGGGCGGTGCCTGAGACCTCAATGGATCCGCGACGCTCCACTACAAGTTTTTCAACGCCTGTCATACGACCTGTGAACAAATAMTTATTGGTAATTAAAATGAACAAACCACAATGGCTAAATTGTTCTAYGTATTGAGAAACTGAAAATGTTTTGAAAGGTAATGTTCAGTTTACAGTAATACCTTTAATGACAGTTGTCTCTCCTCGTAAAACAACCTCAGTTGGAAAAACAATTTCCGCATAGTCCTCAACGTAGAAACCACAAGGTGCGTCCATGTATGTATGAGTTGACTCGACCACAAATACAAATAATCGTTGCCTTGATTTCAGTCGTATAATACCAGTTTTATCTCCTGTCACCTCGTGAGCAATTACTGTGACATTTTTCGCTCCTGTTGGATGATAAAAGACCACAGTAGAGTGCCCCTCGACCTGAAGTAAAATTGAAAAAATTCTAGTCAGTCTTAAAGAATGGACAACGTGAATGAATCATTGACGAATAATAGTAATAGTAATAATAATAGTATTCGTGCAAAATGTACATTAACCAAGAAARATACATTAGGAATGCATTATCGCTTGTCTGAGACAATTACAGTTTCGCAATGCCAACTTCACTCATAATTCAAATAATTTAGGAAAACATAGTTAACATGAATCTCATGCAATATTTAAGAAATATAACAGCTTTTTCCGTGCTCCGTTCAGTAATAAAGCACGTAAGAAGTGGCGTAAGCACGAAAAAATTGTAAGCTTCTCACACTTCTTACTGCTTACGACGCTTCTTAAGTGCTTTATTACTGAACGGAGCACGGAAAAAGCTGTTTTATTCGTTATATTATGTAGTTACCAATTTTATTTCAGTATTGAATTCATTAACGCAGAAACAAAGGCGGTCACAGGATCTAGCAGCACTTCGCGCTCGCAGATGGCGTCAGKACTGTGCTCCGCTCAGTAATAAAGCACAGTTTTCGACCAATCAGCGCGCACGTACTATCCTAGCTATATAATATAATATATAATAGTTATTCATAAGAAAGCGTCCATGCTGGGGTTTTGCAGTGAATATAAGACATTCAGAAACAGTAGTACTAGAAACTTCTTACCTGCGTTTCATCAAATTCGTAGAACACTGTCTTGTTTTCCATAATCACAGTGGGTGTGTCTACCATCAAGTGTTCATTGTCAACCTTTAATTTRGAATGCGTAGGTTTGAATGAAGTGATGTTCTTCTCTTTGTTATATTTCAGTTCCCGGTATTGTGGTCCACGGCGGCTTTCGTATTTGTATACCGTTCCTGCAGCTCCTGAATATAAAGGAGTTCCACTTGTGCCTCCAATAGCCCGAAAAGTGCCTAAAAGAAAATATTATAGTTATTAGAACCATTCTCTTTAAATTAAACAACTTGACAAAATACTGAATATAATATTAGGCTACCATTTAAAAAAGCCAATTATAAATGTGATATTCCATTTAGCAAACAAATAAAGCAGCTTTTTCCGTGCACGCAGGAAGCAATTATTAACTTTTAAATATCACTTATTGTTACAAAATATYTTTACAAAATGATCTGGCGTTACGTGTTGTTTGCTTAACGTAAACAAATGATGTGACGGACGCCGTTCTCGTGCCAGTCTTTCTTGACCGTCTTATTGACGTCCGCGTCGTCGATTTTGTTGGTGCTTAAGGTCCCTATTACAGAATGGGGCGCGGAAAAGCTGTTTTATTCGTTTTATTATATAGCTACTAATTCGCAGGATCTAGCAACAGTTCGCGCGCGCGGATGCCGTAAGTATTGTGCTCTGTTCACTAAAAAAGCATAGTTTTTGACCAATCRGTGCGTGCGTACTATCCTAACTATTTGATAAAATRAAATATGGCATACCAAAGAAGATATTCAATAAAAAATAGAAAGTGATGATTCGAAGTGTAACTAAGCGTAAAAAAATTCAATCTTGGCACCAAACTTATAAAGTTATACAAATATATATCCAGGTAAAGAAAACATACCCCTATACAGATATCAACACTAGAATAAGAAAATGCTCTAAAAGGCAACAATACCTCCGTAATTATTTTGAAAGTCTACGTGAACACCAATGCGACCTCCAGCACCTCCTCCACAGTTTGATGGGCAGTTACCGCCATTAACAGACACCTCGCCATGTCCTGTCATGTTCATTGTTTCTATGAGGATGCTGCCACCACTACCACCACCAGAATAAGAAATGGTTGCACTTTGCCCTGCAGCGGAGATCAGTCCATCAAGATTTAGCTGTTTGCTTATGCGCAGGTGTAGACTCCCTCCACCTGTAGTACGGGAAAAAAGATTGTTTGTGCAATCACTGTCAATTATTTACTCACTGGCCACTTTTTAATGAAGAAATAATTAGTATTTAGTTTGCTTTATTGATCTGATAAAAAGGGAATAATACCGTTGGTCCAGAGAACATCTAACTCAATGAAAASACATAATGCTTAAAAATATTGCTAAGATATAAAGAAAGTTCGAGAGATTTCTAAAGGCGATTTGCATTTGAATTAGGTCAGGAATAATTGTTTCGTATATTTTCCCAGATTATATATCCACTTATCAAAACCTTCTAAACACCATTAAGGCTTTTTTTGGGAAAACAAATCCTTACCCGATCCACCTGAAGAGCCACCTCCGCCACTTCCAAAACCTTGTGGAGAGAACACAGATCCGTATGCTTGACCATCATTATAACTATTATAGGCCGTTCCTCCTTGACCTCCATGACTTGCACCTGAGCCATATCCCGATGGTGCTGAACCAGCTCCAGGACCGCCTGCACTGCGATGACCAAGCCCATCAAGAATAATTACGCCTTTCGTCTCAATCTGACAAAACGAAGATGTTATGTGTCCATGGTTTATGCTAATGGTTCCTTCATACTGTATCTCAAGAAGAGCAGTGTYCAGCAAGACAAGATTCTGGGAAATACGCCTTAAGTTAAAAAGTCCTCCTTTCTTCACAATAGCATGTGCAAAAGAGCTGTTACCTGGTTCAGTGATATCAATATAGGTACGATTTTCTACTAAAGCTGTTTGAGATGTAGATGACATAGTAAGAACAGCTCTATCCKCTATGAAGAGAAAATGAACTCCAGTCATTCTTCCGTGTATTATTGTCCTAACGCCGTGTGTGTGAAACTCAGCTGGAAGTACCATTTCTGCACCTTGATCTATCAAGTAACTACAAGGTGCTTCTGTACGGTTTGTTTCTGACTCTCTAACTTCGACGAAAATTGTCTGGTTAATTCTTAGATGGAATTGTCCTGTTTTGTCGCCGATAAATCGATGCACTGTGGCAGTAATCTTGGTGATATTATCTGGGTGGTATATGACTAATCTTGAGTAGCCTGTCAGCTCCAGTTCATCCAATTCGTAGTCCGTTTTGAAATCTTCCATCAGTACAGTGGCACCAGGAACGTCACGGCCCTCATTGTCAACGTGCACGTACATATGATCAACCGCAAGTAAAGTGTCATTTGTTTCTGGAAGGTATTTCAAGTGCCTGTATTCTAAAGGTCTATAGTTTTCTTCTTTATAAAGAGTACCAGCAGGTGCACTCTTTGAGTTATCGGTGCCTATACCTCCGCGATCACTGAATTTCCCACCAAAGGTGAAACGCCATCGACAGTGGATCCCAATTCGACCTCCTGACCCGGCKCCACCATTGCCTGTAGAGTCACCACCGACGACGGAAATTTCGCCATGACCGGTCATGTTGGTTGTTAAAATTAAAATGCTTCCGCCACTACCTCCTCCACTATAGGAACCTAAGGCATTGGCACCTCTAGCAGATATAAGGCCGTTCAGTTCAAGACGCTTCGCCACATCCCATAGCAACTGTCCGCCACCAGACCCTCCAGTTCCTTGTCCGTTTCCTCCTCCGCTGCCTAGAGACAGAGGTTTGTATACAGAACCATAAGCGCTTCCGCCGTATAGAGATCCCTCACCACCATATCCGGCACCGGTACCAACTGTAATTCCATTGCGGATCGCAGTTGAACCACTACCAGGTCCTTTCTCAGCTGGATGACCACCAAAATCAAGTTTAAAATGACCTTGACTATCAAGCCAAGCGAAAGAAGATAGAACTTCGCCATGGTTCATATGGAAGAGACCTTGGTATTTTATTGACAGTTCACTTGATGTTATTCTCATGAATTCATTTTCTTTCCTGAATTCGATATCCCCTCCTCGCTTTACGACAATTGTGGCGAACGATATATTTCCTTTCTCTGAAATATAGACGTAAGTACGATTTTCAACCAGCGCTGTTTGTGTTGTAGAATAGATGTCAATTACTGCTCCTTTAGACACCTTGAGATGATGAACTCCAGTTATCATGCCTTCGATCCTCGATCGAGTACCATGAACGTGAAATTCTGAGGGAAGAATGATTTCAGCATCAACATCTATTCTGTAGCTGCACGGAGCTTCAGTAGAATTTGAAATGGACTCTACTACTTCCACGTATACTTCTTGATCATTTCGAAGGTGAAATTGTCCAGATTTGTCTCCAATAAAACGATGCACCACTGCTTTGACGGTCATGTTTCCAGGATGATATAAAAGAAGTCTGGAATATCCAGTCAATTCCATTTCGTCAAATTCATAATAAGTGGTATTCTCAGCCATTAGCACTGTTGCTCCTGGTACATCAAACCCATCGTTATCAATATGGACATAAGTGTGATCGACAGCAAGTAATGTTGTATTTTTGGCTTTGCTGTACTTCACGTGTCTGTATTCAAGAGGGCGATAGTTCTCTTCTTTGTAGATAGTACCTGCAGGGCCCCCATATTTACTTCCTTGTCCTCCAGCATCAGTGAATTTTCCTCCATAAGTGTACCTCCAACGACAATGTATAGCTACTCGCCCTCCTGAACCACAACCACCCAAACCTGTTCCATAACCACCTCTTACTGAGATTTCTCCATGTCCAGTCATATTGGTTGTCTGAATAAAGATACTCCCGCCGCTGCCGCCGCCAGTGTTAATACCCCGTCCGTTTGTTCCTTTGGACGAAAGCAACCCGTTTATCTGAAGTCGTTTCGCAACAAACCAAAATAGTTTTCCTCCTCCTGAGCCACCAACACCATTTCCATTTCCTCCACCACTTCCGAAGAATCTCGGTTCRTACACTGAGTCGTAAGGAGCTCCACCGGTAGAATAATCTGTCTTGCCACCCTCTCCTCCATGACCAGCACCGGAACCAACACCACTTACAGTGTATCCTTTACCTAAACCATATTCAGGTCCTAAGCCTTTGCCATCGAGAGATAGCAAACCCTCACTCTCAATCCAAGCAAAGCTTGAAAAGATAGATCCATGATTTATAAACATCTTTCCTTCGTATTTAATTCTCATATCCGCAGAACGCAACAGAAGGTCATAGGACACACGCGAAAATGTTATTTCTGAATTTCTTTCTACTGTTACTGTTCCGAAAGTGAAGTTTCCTTTCCTATCGATTCTGATGTATTTGCGGTTTTCAATCATTGCGGTCTGTGAGGTTGAGGAAAATTCTACTCTGCCGCCATTTGCGATGAAAAGATCCTCGATACCTGTCATGCGGCCTTCAAAAATGGATCTTGATCCATACATTTTTACAATCGCAGGAAAAAGTATTTCGGATCCTTCATCCGTTTTAAAACTACATGGGGCCAGCGTTTCGTTTGTTCTTGACTCAACCACCTCAACGAAAATTCTTTGATCTCGACGCAAATGAAATCGACCAGTTCCATCTCCAATAAATCGATGAACAATTACTGTTACATTGGTAGCACCTGGCGGATGCCTTACTTGTAAATTCGCGTGTCTTGTTAGGAACAGTTCATCAAGCTCATAAAACACGTGCTCACTTTCCAGAAGCAATGTATTCCAATGTGTCTTTCGATTATCGTTGTCAACTTCAAGGTACCTTAAAGAAACAAAATGTGGGCAAGAAGAATTAAAACAACACGTATTTTAGGGATTWAAAAAAAAACTTTTAAAAATGTGTGAGCACCGTAAACGTAAATGGAGAAGAAAGAGAAACAGGAAATGTTAATCGATCTCTTAGTTTACTTATGTTTAGCTTTACATGCTAGACGTCCAGACGAAACTTTAAAGAAGAAAAAACTTGTTTTAAAAAGTCTTTATTGAAGAAATTTACTACAAATGGAGGTTGACGCTCTAATKTCTTTAAAAATAACACTAAATATGATATGCCGATTGCTACCTAACCATACCTTTCACTATGCTAGTGCATGAATTTAATATCATACCTGTGGTTTGCTGTAATAGTGGTCTTATTTGTAGATTTATCGTACTTCATGTCAGCATATTGGGGTCCGCGTGCAGTCTCTTCGACATATGCCGTTCCTGCAGCCGCCACAGATTGTCCAAATCCACCATAAGCCTGGTAGCTGCCAGCAAACTTGTGCTTAAAGCGAATAAGTATAGAAATCCTGCCTCCAGCACCGCCTGAGCCAAGTCCTTGGCCATCACCGCCTTGACTGTTTATTTCTCCATAACCAGTGAAATTGGTACATTCGATGAGAACGCTACCTCCGCTTCCTCCACCCGAGTTCATTCCAGTGCCATTTGCTCCCCGCACTGATATCAGGCCGTCTAGCTCTATTTCCTGTCCTACTCTCCAATGAAGTAAACCACCACCTGACCCTCCGCGTCCTTGTCCATTGCCTCCACCACTGCCAAAATGTGTTGGCTTGTAGACTGACCCATATGGTGTACCACCAGTTTGATTGGCCTGATGCGCTGCTCCTTCGCCCCCATGTCCCGCACCGGTCCCTATGTTATTTATCGTACTCCCATTTCCGGGACCACTTTCAGATTCATATCCAGTTCCTTCCAATAATATTYTACCGCGGCTTTCAAGCCAGGCCCAAGAAGAGTCAATGCGCCCATGATTCATATTTAACAAGGCATGGTACTTGACGCGAAAGATTAACGCTGTTAGTATGAGTGAGCCATTTATTCTTGTCAAATCAACAGTGGATCCCTTTTGTATATAAATCTCAGGATAAGTAACATTTCCTGGAGTAGTCAAAACTTTGTAAGTCCCGTTTTCTTTGATACCTGTCTGGGATGTTGATGTAAACACCACTCCAGAACCTTCAGCAATTATGAGACGGTATACACCCACAACGAGGCCTTCGAATCTGCAACGTGTTCCAAGAAGTGTTAGATATGACGGATAAACGATTTCAGCACCAATGTCTACCTTATAGCTAACAGATGCAACAGTATATCCTTTGCTTGACTCAACAACCTCAACGAACATTTTTTGACCAGACTGTAGATGAACCAAACCAGTACGATCACCTGTGAAATTATGAACTACAAGTATGGCTTTCTCTCCGTAAAGGTGCATCAGTGCATGGTTGTTYATGGCTAGTTCATCAAACTCATAATAGGTATTGTTTTCGTTAATAATTATCGTCGGAATATCGGGATTGCGGTTAGCATTATCTATGGAGAGTTTAGTAAAACCAACACCAAAAAATGTCTCGTTGCCATCTGTTTTCGAAACTGGTCGATGAGAGAGGCCTTGGTTTGTATCTGTATAATAAACAGTTCCTGCAGCTCCTGCCTTAAAGCCAGTTCCACCATATGCTATATACTTGCCAGCATACTCTCGTAACCAAGACACGTGGATAGCAACACGTCCTCCTGATCCTCCGCCCCCGTTTCCATTGCCCGAACCGCCCTCTACGGTAAGTTTACCGTGACCTGAAAAGCTTGTTGTCTTGACGAAGATGCTTCCCCCACTACCGCCACCAGCATTTGAACTACCATCACCCCCTTTGTTTTCTACAGACCCATCGAGATGGATGAAGCGTCCAATCGTCATCTATAGTTAAACAAGTCAGATCATACAGAGAATAAAGATAATATAGATATATATGTGATAYATATGGGAACAGCAACGTAACCAAGGACCTATAAGCCTAGCTTTCGTGTTTTTAAAACATTTTGCACAAATGCGCAATAATGCGTAATAAGCTCTGCAATAATTCGATATATATCAACATAACTCTATCGCATTACTAATTTAAACACGATCGTTCTTGTAATGGACCAATATTTTTAAAATCARTTATTGAAAGTGGTGCTTGATCCCMGCCAAKGTGTATGCAACAAGTAATATTTCAATTATTTTGTGTTGCACTAGTTTGTATCAATGTTTACTATGATACTTACTTTTACAGTGCTTCCTCCTCGGCCACCCGACTTTCCTCCCCCTCCACTCCCAGGATGCTCCGGGTAAATATACGAGCCATAGCCTGAACCTCCTGTAACCGTACTACTTGGACCTCCCTGTCCTCCGTGTCCAGCACCTGATCCAGATCCACCCAATTCTCTRCCAGGTTGGCTCCCACTTTCAAAAACCGGTCCTTTACCAGATGTAGTTATTAAGGATCCTCCTTCTAAAAGCGCTTCGCCACACGACAATACTATTGTATCCGCAGACACAACTGACTGTGCTCTCATATGTATCAGATTGCTGTCTAATTCCATCWGTTTCATAAATCTCAGTTGAGCACTTGCTTCGATCATGATTACGCCAAATGTCAAGGTTCCTTCAACAGGAATACTTGTGTATGTTCGGTTCTTTATTTGTGCATTGCTTGCATTGGCACCAACAGTAACTACCCTGCCTGAGAAGTGACAGACATTATAAAGTAAGTTCTCAATTACCCCTTACTATTCTATTTAGGTAAAATGCATAGGACTCTTTAATCAGTCTTGTAAAAGAGTAAAACATTTGGCATGAAACTAAATAAATAAAACGCATGCAACAATTTTGAAACTTACATTTCAAAAACGACAAATATAAATTAACATGTTTAATTAAAAGAAACAAACATCTTTAGAATATAACTTTAGAATATGTGAATGACTGCCGCTAGAAGGGAATTAATACATATGTAAAGTTAAGTTGAAGTGAAAAAGAAACTAAACAATAACTGTCCGATGCTCGGATGGGTTTAAGCACTCTTACTGATATTTATATCGATTACAATAACAAGTTAATTTGTCTTTTATTTGACTTTTATTTATAACTTTATGATTTTACCTTCGGTCAATGTCAAATTAGACACCCCAGTCATTCGTCCGTTCAAAACAAATGCCGGGTCTTTAAGTCCAACGATGTGGAAGTCTGAAACAAGTATCACCTCGCCACCATAATCAACTTGGAAGTTTACTTTGGGAAAAGATCGTCTTTGTGTAGCTTCTTCGTACTCAATAAAGAACTTTTGGTTCTTTTTGATGTGGAAAGTTGAAGAGCCGTCGCCGAGAACYGTATGCACCGATATGGATGGGGTAGCACTTGAGCTTTCGATTGTGAAAATTGTCTAAAAGGAATAGAAATACTCTTAAATTTACAAAACCCCAGTCATRACCCTCTTCGTTTTTGGAAGGTTAACTAATTACAGATCAATAAGTAAATACCTGTCGTTGAAGCATAAGCTCGTCAAATCCATAATCAGCAGAGTTTTCTTCTTTCTCTCCTTTTGCAACACTTTTGGGGTTTCTGTGATCCAATACAAACACCTTGGGAGGATCCGCGTTTGCATTATCGATATATAATCTTCGACTAAGTTTTTGATCCCGAGCCTCTTCGAMATACACCGTGCCGGATCCACCATGTTGGTGTCCTGGGCCTACTCCTCCTAGGGCACGAAAACCTCCTCGGTACTCATCTCTTATCAACACATGAACGGCAATACGACCTCCAGATCCGCTTCCTCCGCGAAGTGCTCCAGAATTACTACCGGTACCACCGAGTGCTGAAACATCTCCGTGACCACGCAAATAGCCGGTTGTAATCCAGATGGAACCACCACTTCCAGCTCCTGTGCCTAAATGTAAATACATTTAACAAATCAAATTGCAATATTCTTGATTTCTTAATGCAGATAATTTTTACCTGAATCCGCTAGGGCATTGTCAGCATCTGCATTTAAAACTCCATCAAGAATAAACGCATAGCCAATGTTGATCCTTATGCGTCCTCCTCCACGGCTTCCGAGTACATTAGACACTGAACCACCACGAGCACCTGGCAAAGTAGGTTCATAGATAGAACCAAAAGCATCTCCACCAGGGTTTGAGGTGCTATTACCCCCTCYAGTAGCGTGTCCCGCTCCTGATCCTCCCGTTGGAGAGTCTATTCCAGACCCAGAAGTGTTAGTGTTAAGTCCCTTTCCTTTGCAGCTTAGAAGTGCATCAGGTTCGAGGTAAAAATCTGTTGCGTCAAATTCAARATACTCTCCTGTAAAGCGGCAGTTGAATTTTATGTCCTACGACAAAAATAAAAGTCAAATAAGCAATTGCCTTTAGCATCCTGGATAAGATCACAATCTCATATAATTGAAAATAGACCCCATTTGAGCAAAATGTTTTCACATATCAGGCCCATGCTCGACAGCAAAGAATACGATAAAGTTTTGCATGCATGGGTTTTGTTCAGTGATRTTGGCTTCTTAACCTTTACAACTGAGAGAAGGAAATGCGCTATGACCAGAGAAATAAASGATTAGGTATACAGTACAATATTCCAATTTTTTAAATACCAGAAATCCAGCTGTGAAGTGTACGCCCATTGGTTCAGGATAATCGATGACAGTACCACTGCCAAACTCCAGGGTAGAAAACGTAAACGAGCCATCTTTGTCGATGAACTGGTACCTGCCATTTTCGATTCCTGCAGTATGCGCATGCCAGCTGATTAGAATCTTTCTTCCATGTGCAACGTAAAAGTGCTGTACATTTGTAATACGACCATCCCAGTCAAAAGCTACTGGGCCTTTGCCAACGATGTGAACTGAGGTTGCCATTACTGCTTGGGAGTATCGGTCTAGTTTGAAATTTGCTGCAGTCCTGTAAGTATATCATCAAAAATGTACAAACAACTTCAGATAGACAGCACAATTACTTAACTGGAAGCAAATGGAAAGCGGATTACATAAAAATCGGAAATTAATAGAATATAAAATTTAATTAAGTGAATGAGTAAGTAAGCTATAATGTTAAATGAGTTGGTGATTTGGTTGAAGAGTATAGTTGGTCATATGGTGTGTCCAAAATAACTAGAATATCTGGAACTACTTATCATTTACTTGCCACAAAAGGATTATATTGTAGTTCATACCTCGTAATCGACATTGTTGCATCCTTGTATTCAACGTTAAGTGTCTGATTCCTATGTACATGAACAAGCCCAGTTCGATCGCCTATCATTTTATGAATAATTAATGTTCGAGTTCTATTGTCTGGCACCATGTGAACAGAAGCCTTTCTTAATAAGTGCATCTGATCAAATTCATAGTCGTTTGCGCTGTTATTGAGCGTTACATAATGAGTCCAAGGCCTGTTCATATTATCAATTCTTAGTTGCGTAAATCTGTATCCGTTGCGCATGTCATATAAGTAAATGGTGCCTGGTCCCCCAGAATATTCTGACTTGTCCTTCTGCGGATCGCCTGCAGAGCCTCCAATTCCCCAGTATTCACCGAGATATTTATTTTCAGTTGCGGTATAGATTGCCATACGACCTCCTGATCCACCACCAGATGTTACACCATCACCATTTCCTCCATTAACACTGATCTTTCCGTGTCCACTAAAGCGTCCAGAGTGTATGAGAATACTGCCCCCACTACCTCCACCAGCATTTGAGTTTGATATTGCATTATTCCCGTTAGCTTCTATTGAACCATCCAAGTAAAGGAAGTCTCCAACATTCATTATGACAATCCCACCAGCTGCACCTCCAGAAGCCGTTCCAGGGCATCCTTTTGCTCCGTAGCTGTTTGGTTTAAAAAGGTCACCATATGGAATATTACCACTGGATCCCGAGCTCCCTGAAACAATACATCATATCGTTTTCCTCAGTCCATGTTGGAAGTATAAAAGTTGTAAGTATATTTTCAGGGGCAAAAAATATGGTGAAAGTAATAAAAAGCCCTTTACGCACTAAAGATTCAATGATTGTATTGAAAAATGGGAGTTTGACATTCCAGGAGCAAGAAATTCGTTAGAACTCACATAACAATCTCTGATGCACAAGACACAAACAAACAAACAAAAAACCCTTTACTTACAAATAACGACAAGTTTAGCCAAGGATATAATGTGCTCATTAACGTAAATATCGGAAAATTACCTTTACCGCCATAACTTCCGTAGCTTCCGCCTGATCCTTGACATGACGCTGAAGCAATTGATCCGTTATTTGGATTTGGTCTGTCGCCTCCCGATGCGGTCACTGTACTACCTGCCTCCAGTTGTATGATTGTTGCACTAACATCATGTTCATCGGCTTTTATCTTGGCGCCATATTTCATGTGCAGCTTTCCAACTGAGCATCGGGCTCCATTTGGATGATCAAATAGCAATTCCGTACCATCCTGGAGTTCAAGGACTGCTAGGACAAATTTTCCCACTTCAGATACAACAAGTGATTCGTTCTGTTTTTCAACTGTTTGGATGTTTTGGGAAAACCTTGCTTTTAGTTTTTTAGTTAAGAAGAAATAGTTTACGTTTGTCAAGCGCCCGTTCACAGAAATCGATACATCATCTGGAATCTGTGATAATCCTTTAGCACCATCTCCAATAACGTACACCGATGCTCCAAGGACCATCTCGCTGTCTTTGTCAATTAGTAAGTTAACCGCAGGCTTTGAAACGCTATGAACGGTAGCCGATGCTTCGAGTTGTATCTCATGGTTTGCTTGGGCGTGAATAAGCCCTGTTCGATCACCTACTAATTTGTTGATAATTAGGTTTTTCCTCTGCCTTCCAGGGGACATTACTATAGAGGCTCTCTTCCACAGCTGTACTTCGGAAAAGGTATAGGTGCTCAATCCTGTTTCATGAATAGTAACAACATCCTGCACAGATCTCATGGCGTTGTCGATAACAAGTTGGGTATATTCTAGCTTCGAACGAATCTCGCTAATGAATAGTGTACCTGGTCCACCATGGGTACCTCTTGCTGATACCCCTCCCTGCGCCAAGTAACGACCTCGGTAAATCATTAATGTCGCATAGACAGCTATTCTTCCTGCTGCACCACCGCCCGCATTACTTCCACCACCATCGCCTCCATTGACGCTGAGAACGCCATATCCTTGTAAAGTAAGATATAAACAGCGTGATCAATAACAAAATAACAAAACCACACCAACAACAAATTATATGTCGCAGCGGAATAAAGCAATGAAAGGGTAAAAAGAACCAAAAAGAATAAAATGAGTAAAGCAATTGAGATACACATTTCTGTAGAGCTCTTTAAAGTAGGGGCCGAAAAAATAACAGTTGGCCGCGAATTGAAACTTTGAGGGCACATCAGTTATATTTTGAGGGTCATTCTTCATACAAGGACATTATCAGCCGATATTTTAGTAATCCAAAAGGGGTTCATTTATTTTATAACCCAGCAACGTGAGTGGAAAGGATTCGACTAGTTGAAAGCTTCTTCTCCAAAATATACAAATTATTTATCTTACATGTTCTCCAAGCTGAACATAAATAGTACAAATATGAAATTTTTTGTGCTACCTGGCGTAGTTTTCTCATTTCACTCTCAATCGTTTGTAAAAACCGAGTTTCTTTGTTTTCCATGTTTTTCTCTTATTTTTTTAGGAATTTTTTTTGGTGGACTAATATATATCACTGCGGACGAGGAATATCGTTTGATATCCGTCCTGCACTTGATCCATCGAACCAATGACAGCAAGCAAAAAATTATCGTTGGGTTTAATGCTTGGTATTTTGTATTTGTACAAATAAACAGCAAAACTATATGTTTTTAAAAGTGTCTATGCCTGCGCGACATTGTAAGCATTAGAAGTATAAAAATTGAATTTCAAAATATGTATTTTTTCTCGTATAATTTACCTGAAAATATGTCTGTTTTTATAAGAATGCTTCCGCCGCTTCCACCACCTGCTCCAGTTGAAGGCTTAGCATTTTCACCGGCGACAGTAACAGTTCCGTCATTTATCAGCCCGTTTCCAACTTCGATTTTAATATAACCACCACCGCTCCCTCCTATGACACTCTTTACTCCATTGCCGCCTCGACGGCCAGGATCTGTGGGCTTGAATATTGAGCCATGGTACAACTCGCCTTCATTTCGTATTCCTTTGCCGCCAGAACTTGCATGACTGCCACCTTCTCCTTGCGGTAACATAGATATTTCTGAGGAAGGTACAGCTTTGCGCGCCGCGTTATCTCCAGCGCAGCTTAGAAGGCTACCGGTTTCAACGTCTATTTTTCCAGAGGTGATATTGAGGAAATGAGCTGAAAAAGATGCTCCGTATTTTAAATTTAGAAAGCCCACAACAAGTTTCATTGGCGGTTCATCTCTCATGACTAAAGAGCTTCCACTATATAATATAACTTTCGAAAAGTAAAATGTACCCATAGCCTCATTTTCTTTGGACGTACGAGCACCTTTATGGAAAATTGCCAATTTGTTTTGAGTCAAATATAAATCTTGTACCCGAGATAAAGTCCCATTTACTTCCAACGGAATTGATCCTGTTCCTACGATGTATGATTTTGCGGCCATCACAAGTTGTCCACCAGACTCCACTTTTAAATTGATTGGTGTTTTCGTGACAAAATTCTGTGTATCTAGAACTTCCAAGTATGCTTTTTGATTTCCCCCCACATGCAATAAGCCTGATTTGTCACCATAAAGCTTTCTAACATCAAACGAAAGATCACTATCTGATTCTTGGATTCTTAAAGAAGCAGTATTGTACATGTATAGTTCGTTGAAAATGTAGGACTGAGTTGATTCATTGAGAGTAACATAATGTTCCCACCCTTGTCCTTGGTTGTCAATTCGAAGTTGTGCAAAGGGGGATTTGTGTCGTATTTCTTTTATAAACACCGTCCCTGGTCCACCAGAATTTTTGCTAGTGCTGCACTCACTCCCTAGGGCCTGTAAGGTACCACGGTATTGAAACTTTGTCATAACGTGCACAGCAACCCTTCCGCCAGAACCGCAACCCCCAGATCCGGCACCGCGTCCTCCATTTGTAGAAATCAATCCCGTACCCCGAAAATMTTGTTTTATTGTCAGAAAAATACTCCCACCACTTCCACCACCAGATAAGCCTGACGCATCGCCACCATTGGCGGTTATGTAACCATCATTAAGAAGGAAATCTGCGGTTATACGTACGACGCCACCACCTTTCCCTTCTGAGCCAGGGCTGGTTCCAACTCCTCCAGGACTTCCAGACTCATTAGGTTCATAGATTGTGCCATATGCCTGACCCCCTTTTACATTACCACCATCTCCTCCAGCACTTCCGTGCCCTCCTCCCGATCCACCTGATCCAGAATTGATTCCGACACCTACTTTTATTTTGTCTTGTATCGCAGAGTTGGTAGTTAAAGTAGCACCACGACCAATAAGAAAAGTTTGCGCTTGAATGTCAACATACTTTCCACGTAATGTCACTCCGTTTTTCAGGTCTAATTTTGTTACCAAAATCTTGAGATTCTCTGGGGCTCCAAAGTCTGAACCACTTTTCAGGGTGATAGACGCAAACTGTTGCGTTCCTGGACGACTTTGAAATAAAAATTTATCTCCATGCATGAGAGTCGTTTGAGAAGTCAAGCCAAACTGTACTCGACCTCCTGATTCCACAACCATGTGACGTAAGTTTGAAATTTTACCATCTACTTTCAAGGTCGCTCCATCGACGCTCAGGCTCGAAGCGACAACCATGTTTGCTCCTTCTTCGATGTGAACATTTGTAGTGAGCATCAAGTGGCTCTCTTTTGCTTCAAAAACTTCCGCATATAAAGTTTGATTTTTCTTGACCGCCATTTCTCCGACGCTATCAGCGTTGAATTTATTCATGTTTATTACAAGATGTTCCTTCAATGAGCTAACTATTTCAAATCGCACGCTGCCAGTCATCTTCAATTCATCAAAATAAAACACAGTTGTCAATGGTTCCGATAATACCGTTGTTGGCCTACTTCCTTTGATGTTTAAATTTTGAATGAACAACCTTTTTCGCGGTATTTTTTTGTTGTTGTCTTGGATGTAAACAGTTCCTGCAGCGCCCAAAGATCCGGATGTACTTGTTCCTCCAATAGTAGTGAAGCTGCCTTCAAAGCTAATTGTTTTTTCTGTATAAACGGCAATGCGTCCACCACTTCCTCCACCTCCCTTTCCATTCGCCTTTCCGCCTTCACTAGTTATGAAGCCGTTTCCAGCGATGTCCTCTGCAAATATCAAAATGCTTCCTCCACTGCCACCACCGCAATTAGCACCAGTACAATCACTTCCATCTGTTCTGATTTCTCCGTCCACTCGAAGAGTGAGCACCACTTTAAGGTGAAGATGTCCTCCGCCAAATCCTCCCATACCAGATGTTCCGTTACCGCCACCACTTCCTGTCATATTAGGGTTCTTTGTTACCCCATACCAGTGTCCATACTCTCCCGTAGCTAGGCCACCGTTACCTCCATGACCAGCACCTACTCCCAAAGAATTGATGGTCTTTCCAGAACCTGGTCCTGATTCACTTATGTGACCTTGTCCTTTCAAGTCTATTTTTGCCCCTGAATTAACAAGAATGGTGGAGGCCCTAATATCCATCCAGCTTCCTTGCAAGACCGCTCCGTAATTTAACTCTAACGAACCCACTGTTACTGGTATTTTTTTAAGTCTTGCATTTTCAAATGAAAGCTTTGCAAGACGTTTTATTCTCAAGGCAGAAAACTGATATGATCCTCTTTCGGTGATATAAGTGTATTTCCCATCAACAAATCTAGCTGTTCTAGCAGACGAGGAAAACTGTGTTTTTCTGTTAACGCCAATGATCATTTCCAAAACGCCTGTCAAGGTTCCTGCAAATATGTTATTCTTACCACCAAATGAAACGATATCAGGAACTCTTATCTCGCCGTCACGATCCACATGTATACTGCAGTCAGGTTCGAGAGATTTTGAATCGGGCTCAATCACCAAAACTACGTTGTCCTGAACATGTAACATGCTATTCTCGTCGCTTATCAATTTGTATAAAATAGCATTCTTTTCAAAATGGAGAACTACATTACCATAAATCGACAGCTCATTAAAACTATACGATTCCACGTTGGTCTCGTTTAAGTAAGCGTCAACTTCCTTTGATCTTCCATCTCCACGATTATCAATTACAAGTCGTTTAGATCTCAGTCCTGGGCGATTTTCCTCTATGTATACAGTACCAGGGGAACCACTCAGAGAGCTTGAAATGCCACCTTTTGATAATAGTTGACCACTGTACTTATACTGACCACTGATTAAAAGAGAAACACGTCCTCCCCCACCTGCACCGTGTCCTTGAGAGGATCCGCCGGAAGCTTCGATAACTCCTCTTCCGGTAATTAACTCAGCTACTGTTATGTTAACTGTTCCTCCACTTCCTCCACCCAGGGAACTGTGACCGTTAGCACCATTAGATGAAATAAGACCTTCATTTAGGAGATTGTCGACGTCAATTTGGATTATGCCTCCGCCATACCCTGCACTTGAGTTGATGGATGGGGTACCTGCCCCGCCGCTGCCAAATTCGGTGGCTCGGTATAAAGAACCATACAAAATACACTGGTGGCTGGCTAAACTCCCGCCACATCCGCCATAGCTACCTCCGCTAGTGGCTGATCCACGGCCAGGACCTGTTCCAGCTGGATATCCTAGTCTATCTGCTCGAATTGTTCCATTAAAGGCGACATTTAACACTGGGGTCTTGATAAGCAAGTACGGCCCTTCCATTATCCCTCCATATGCAATATCAAGTGATAAAGATCGAATTTCGACTGGTGTCTTTGTACTGACGTCTGATTCAAACCTCAGTATTCCACCACTTGACACTTGTAATGATCTGAATAAAAATTTACCAGGAAAAGCAGAAGTCAAGCCAATAACACCAGTATTTGCTATTACAACTATGGCGTTTTGTCCAATACTAATTTCCTGACCTCCGATCAGTCGACCAGCAAGATACAAGGATGGTGTCGACTGGGTACGTGTTATCAATAGCTTTGGAGCAAGATTTAGTGTGCCACCATTCTCTACAATCAGTGCCCAAGGGARCATGAATGGTCCACTACTGACAGCTTTGGACGCACTGAGTGAAAGTGTTTGATTGTCACGAACATACAAACTACCGCTATTATCTCCGTCCATTTGAAGAATATCGATTTTCATTTTTGCCATGTTCACTGACGCAATTTCTAGACGGGCACTGTTGACTAGCCTGAGCAGACGTATTGCGTAAGACACCTGCTGCTCGTGCATTATCTTTGTCTTGGCATCAGTAACATGTTTGTTGTTATCCACTATAGTGCTGTTAAGTTTTAGTCCAGTCACGATTTCTCGAACGAATATAGTACCAGCAGCTCCATGGTCCTGACCTACCCCTCCAAAGGTTGAAATTGTTCCTTTAAATGAATTCTCACTCACATATACAGCAATCCTTCCGCCAGATCCTCCACCTGAGGGTCCTCCATGCCCGCCATCAGCTGTAATATTACCATGGCCTTCTAGACTGTTAGCTCTTATTTGCACACTTCCACCACTTCCGCCACCCAAGGAATGCGCCTCGCCATTGCAAACGATATGACCATTGACTGACAAGGTTCGCTTCACCGTGAGATAAATAATACCTCCGCCCCGAGAGTTTAGTCCGCTTCCATAATGTTGAGGATTAAATACCGACCCGTAAGCTGATCCTCTATGTTTACCTCCTCCTTGTCCACCATGGCCGGCACCGCTTGCTGAAGTTAATGGAGATCCTAAACCACGAAGCAGTCCACCAGCCGTTGCGGAAATTTTAGCGTCACTTTCGATAGTAACACTGTCTGCTGTGATATTAAAGAACTTCGTTTCGCCGCTTGAAGATATCAAAGAACCTCTCCCCATCAATAGCGAAGTGGCAACTAGAGTGACATTTGTAGCCTTGAAATCGATAATCGAATCTGATTCGAGTACTAACCTATCGAACCTTCCTTCTGCTTTACTTATTGACGAGGAGGCACCAATATCAATTCTTGAATTATGTCTAAGTTTTAAAGTCGAAGCTTGAATCTCTCCCAAATGTTTCAATTCAATCCGCTTCGAATTACCCACTTCCGGTTGCGTTGCAATAAGCTTTCCAGAAACCACGACTGTAGGATTGCTTGGCCCATTAAAAACAACTTTCCCAGTGAAAGTCAAAGTTCCTCCACCTTGAACTTCAAAATCGCATTTTGCTTCTTTTCCGTCATGGTCAATATCTAGTATTTCAAGTTTGCCACCGTTATCAACAATAACTTTCCCTTCTTTTTCTGCCAAGAGCGCTTTCGCAACAACTGACTGTCCACTCGTAGAGAAAACGCCTGATCTAATGTGTAATTTGCTAAATGAGTACTGTTTTACAGACAGTGGTAGCACGCATGCGGAAGAATATTTTCCATCAAGGAAGAAAGTATCATGCACAGGAGACTTTGAAAAGTCTTTAAATATCATAGTTCCTGCGCCTCCAATATTAGCGCCGTGGCCTCCGGTTAAATCATAGTTCAGTTGAATATTTTCTATCGAATGGTAAGCATGGATAGCTATTCTTCCCCCGCCGCCTCCTCCGGCAGATGAGCTGTTTCCTCCACGAGCCCTAATGGTACCTGAGCCAGTAATAGAGGTGGCGTTAATAAAAATGCTACCTCCACTTCCTCCTCCAGCTCCATTGGACCCCTTACTTCCACTTGCATCGACTGTACCGTCTAAGTCTAGCTCGCTTACCATCACCACCAGAGCACCGCCACCTCTTCCGCGATGTTGGGCTGTTCCTCCACCGTAAGACCCAAAATGAAGTGGATTATCTAAGTTGCCGTATAAGAATCCTTTGTTTGTGTTGCCACCACCCAGACCTCCATAACTACCACCTTGACCATTCTGCACTGGTAGGGCATTATCGAAATTTGATGATAAAGCTTGTAAATTTCCCCCAGCTTTCACAGTTATCTTTGTAGCCGTTAGAAAACTTAAAGTATTCTTACTAGTTGATGCCTCAAAATTCATTGTAGCATCAGTTTGTATTTCCAGTGTGTTGTAAGTATAGTTTCCTGGCTTGAATGTGCACGCCTGTCCTGCGAGTAGCGTGAAGTTGTTATAATCACATGCAATGCTGTAAGTAACGTTATAGCGCGTCTCATGCACCAGATAATACACGACACTAGTTTGCAATGAAGACACATCCTCCTTCCAGATAATATCATAAACTATCTTCGACACATTGTGTGTTACTATGTATGAGACGTTTGACTTTTGCCACACATGTTTTCCAGTACCACAAGGATTGTAAAGAGTCGGTGAAGCCGTGGCGACGATTTCATATCCATGAGGACAGTCAACTCTTCCTAAAGGTGGTCCTTTATTTTCTATGACCTTATTTTGAGTACTTATTGCAATATCCGACGATTCAAATAAACCCCCATAATCTTGTTGGAATGCAATTGCATTTACGCGAACATTCCCAGCTGTTTTTGTCCAAACCTTTCCATCTTTCTTGATCCTAAGACGTTCAAATGTGCTAGAAGAGACTCCTCCTTGAGGTGCCTGGCGATATCCAGTATGGCCTGGAAAGTTCAAAACAAGCTCTCCATTCCTATCAAGAGTCAAATCTTTCACGCCGACTAAGCTACCGGAAATTCCCAAACTGGTGCCGCGGATAACTAGTGTAGGGGGAACAGAAAGTGTACCCCCTTCGTTGATCTGAACACTAAAAGGCAGTTCAAGCTTCGATAGCACCAAACCAGTAACTCCAATATATGAATCATGGTAGCGCTGTGTTATCAGTAAGCCCGTCTTATCTCCGCTAACAGCCCTTCCTATGAGTGTCATTGGACTTCCATCTTTACAGGACTTCATATGCATTGCGGCAGATCCTATTATTCTAATCTCATCAAATGTGTGATCAATTGTCTTGGTGTCACAGAGAAGCACACTCGATGTATTTGTTGCATATAACCCACCATTATCAAGTACAAGCTTAGCTTTTTCCGACTTTTCCGAATAACTATGTTCGTAAAAGAATCCAGAAGCGCCATTTTGTTTTCCGTTGCCACCATGTAAATTGACGGTGTAAAGCCGTAGTGATGATTTCATGTAAATTGAGAGTATTCCTCCACTTCCGCCTCCACCTGAAGTGCCGCCACCATTCCCACCTCGAACATCAAATGAACCTGTTCCTCGTAAAGTTGTAACATTGATGAAGAGAGAACCTCCGCCACCGCCTCCACTAATATCATCCCCCGCTGCAGTGCCCCTGAAAAGAGATGTGAGAAAAAAGATGGTTAATGCCAATTTACTGCTTTGTTTTGATTTGCTTGTATTTATAAGATGAAAAAGAAATCGAGATAAGAGTTTAAAACATTTGTAAAAGCATTTGTATTCCTTTATTTTACTTTATTTTCGTTCCTTTCCTTACTTTGTACTTTTCTTCTTCTTTTCCTTTCCTTTCCCATCTCTCTTTCCCTTTCTATTTTTCTTAATTAACCGTATAAACACACGTCTAAATTATTATGAATTACACGAGGCAGGCGCCCCCTCTCTTACTCCCTTTACCCCTTTGCAAACACAAATAGCATTGGAAATCATAGTAATGCAATAAGCTGCTCTATACCAATATATCTTATCTATACTAAACACGATTATTCTCTCAAAAATTAAGCCAAAGCCCTACCTAGAAGATATCATCCCGTCGACAGTAAGGACTCCGCTAACCGTTAGATTAAGTCTGCCACCTCCATAACCTCCTCTGCACGGTTGACTAACCCTTCCAGCGCGTCCTGCCTCACCGAGAAATCGCGGAAAGTAAACAGAATCAAATGGTTCAGGACGATATCTTGCTGTACTTCCCATACCTCCATAACCTGCGTGACTTCCTCCAGACCCGGAATAATAAACATCAGAGGGAACGCATCTTTCCCCTTGGCCGTCAAACGTGATACTAGCACTCTCATGAACTACGATGTTTTCTGAAACTATGCTTACATTTCTTCCAACAACTGATCCCCCAGCATAAATTTCGATAGATTTAGTCTGCAATTTATATTCGTCTGATGAATCAGTCATACGCAAGATTCCTTGGTTTAGTATCTTGATCGTTTCAATGTCAAACTTCAGATTRACAGGCGTTCCTCTTGTCAACGCGGAAGCATTTGGTCCAAAGTTAATTAGACACTCGGAAATTGTTATGTCATTAACCTTAATAAGGTATCCGCCTAACGAAATGGAATTCTTGTGAAGCATTATTCTAGAAGGCAGTTGAACAAGACCACCTGGATAGACCTGCAGGTTTACTGGAATATAGTATTCTGTTTCCTTGATTACAAGTAGCTGCTGAGGTCCTGAGTGAAGAAAACCAAAGCTTTCTCCTTCAAAACTACCAACAAGCCTACTCACGTCATGCAAACGTAAACGAGAGTCTGTTTCGAAAGCAAGATGGGCCCCACCACCAAGTCTAAGCTCATTAATGGTAAATCCCTCGTACACTTCTTCATCAAGGTTTATATCAGCAATTGACAATATTTTCGGGTTTTGACTTAAAGAGGATCTTGTGAGCCAAGTGCGAGCGCTATCATTTGATAAGGAATAATAACTTGCGATATAAGATGTGGCAGGTCTCCTTCCAAGGTTGTTCACTTCGAGAACTGTTCTTCCAGTTGTTAGATCTAGTTTGTAAATAGTTCCAGAAGCTCCTGCTTCAACGGGTGAGTTACCTCCATAAGCAGTGATAGAACCGGTGTATAGGTTTTGCGTTGAGTGGATGGCAATCCTTCCGCCGCTTCCTCCACCACCACCAGCGCTTCCTCCGTCACCTCCGTTAGCTTGTATAATACCTGCACCACGGATGACTCCAGTTTCAATAAGAATACTTCCACCACTGCCACCACCATAAAAAGATCCTAACGCACTGCTCTTCCCGTCTACTTTAATGGTACCATCAACAGTTAAGGTTGTAACATTCACGTATAGTACACCCCCTCCAGTGGAAGATCCTCCACCTCCTGAGCTACCGAACATGCGGGGGTGTGTAAAGCTATCGTAATAACTGCCAGTCAAGGGTTGATTCATCCCCCTGCCGCCTCGTCCACCATGGCCTGCCCCTGATGATCCAGACGCGTGAGATACCCCTGCCCCTGGATTGCTTGGATCGACCGAACTCTGTTAGAAGATAGAAAAAATATATAATAATATATCCTTTACTTCATTTTTTCTAAACCAAATATTCTTTAGTCAAACTGCATGACTTGCAAGTTTAAAACGTTATTATGAACATAAAGATTAATCCATTAATGGCATGATTTAAAGCAACACGTTATCGTATCATACTTTTGAGTACTCTTTAGACCAAGAAAGTTTCAAAACAATACTTAAGAACATGGTGAAACGTTCACCAGAAACCAGTCTCAAACGATGTTGCACACAGAGTGCACACAGATTTTCACCGTGCAATTGTGCTTTTAATTAAATCACCTCTCAACAACATTATTACCTTAAAACTGAGGTCAATGATTCCTGATTGTTCAATGGTTATTGTTTCAGCATCTAATGTAAGTCGATCCGCGGTAAGAACACCACCACTTCTCACCCATAAAGAAGTACAACTTATGAAAAGCCCTTGAACATCACTTTCAATGTCTACTCTACCGCCTCCTTGGATTTCGATCGCTCCGAAATTGATCTTTCGAGAAATACTACCATCAGGTGCCATTAGTTTCCTACAAAATAAGAATGTAGGTATCAAATATCAAAGAACACCATTCATGCAATGTGCCTGCCAATATGTAGGAAAAGCATAGAACTTGTTTACAACAAGCAATCGGATGCCAATAGACTCTATTTTTTGACATTATGCTTTTTTTTAACTTTGAGCAATTGCAAAAGACTTGGGAATAAGATTACTTGATTCAGTTGTCAATTTTCATTATGAGGCGAAAAAATAACACCAAAGAGAATGAAACGCACATTGATATAGAAAAAAAAGCGATACTCATAAAGTAAAAGGGTCCAGGTGTCTGTGCGAAAGAATTTATTACTTTTCTCCTAAATAAGGAATAGAAAAATATAAAGTACTGAATGATGATAATTCTTACAATGAAATAATAATACCTGAGAACAAGCTTTCCTTTGTTACCCACAGTTACATTATGAGCACCACTTATGCTCCCAGCCACGATCACCTTAATACCATCAATAAACATACTCTCGGGGAGTTGGACATCTCCTTTACTATAAACATTGACCCCCATTGGTAGTTTTTGATCACCAGAGTTTACGACGTTTGATGTCATTCTTAGTGTTTGATTTGCCTGGATGTGAAGGATACCAGAAAGATCTCCCGTGAATCCTTTGATGGCCCATTCCAAAGCGGCTCCAGGAGGATTTGTAAGTACTGCTAGTTGTGATTTACCACGTAGGTCTACTTGGTCGTATTCAACGATAGTTGTACCACTCTTAGGGGTAATCCATGTTCTTCCTCCGTCATGAAGAACGTTTGTAATATCATCAATCAGGGGAGCGCCAATGTTGTTATTGTTTACGATCAGTTTGCGTTTGTTCATGCCGGCGTCACTGAGAAAAACAGTGCCTGCTCCACCAGCTTCATACCTTTATTATGAGAAAGACAAATAACACATAACAACAATGAAAAAAGAACTAGAGAGAAACAATACGAATAGTGCTAGAAGGCAACAGAAAGAGGCTAAAACTATACCATTACTCCTTTAGTATCACAAGATGAAGAGGAGAGTCTGCGGATATATATATTTTTTCTTACAGCCGGAAATTGTTGGTTTTTTAGTGCTTACTAAACCTTTTTACCAACCTGCTCGATCCTCCGAAAGCTTTAAACACGCCACTAAATGAGGAGTTTCTAAACGTAACCGATATTCGTCCTCCACCACCTCCACCACCAAATGCGTTACCATTCCCTCCGAGTACGGTGGATTCACCATTTCCTGCCAAATATTTAGTGGTAAGCCAGACACTTCCACCACTTCCACCACCAGTCATATTTTTACTACTTTGCTCTCCGTCTGCTGATATGGCACCGTCCAGAGATAACGATGAAAAGGCATTGATCTTTATGATTCCTCCACCTTTTGCTGATAAGCTTCCACTGCCGAACTCATGTGGTTCTTCTACAGATCCATATGCAGGTCCGGGTGAAGAAGATATTGTTCCAGTCCCTCCTCTGCCACCATGGCCAGCACCTGCAGTATCTTTTGAAGAAAAAAGAATTGTCCATTTTCAAAGAGAAAATTTAAAATGAAACTTTTCTGATAAGATCATACCAACCGAATCCGAATGAAGTTGATCGCCAATTCTTTTATTTTCATATGAAAAGGTTGCACCTCTAGGCCAGGATGGCATACTATAACGCACAATCCCCCACAGAAAAAAAGGCAAGGAATGTGCTGCATTAATTCTTCGTTGAAGCAGAAATAGAAAGCACAAAAAGAAAGAGGAAAAAAAAGCCTCACTGGTGCCTTACCCGAGCTAGAACCTGGCCCGCTTCTTAATCCATGTCCTAATTCATCAGCAGATACCAGTCCAGACGACTCGATGTTTACATTGTCTGCAGTTATGTCGATCCATTTTCCCTTTACCAGACCTCCAGCGAGAACTGCCAAGGTTTTATTAACAATTAGTCGAAGTGAGTACGATGCATGGCTACTTGACAATGCAATCAGTTTGGCGTTGTTCATGATTGTTAAAGAATTCATCTGTAGAGTTCTTGCTGGATATCCATATGAACTTCCCTATAAATAGAAATCATTCGGGGGAAGAAAAAAAAGAAAAAAAGAAAGAATTGAAAAAAAGAAAAGAAAAAATGTGGGAGTGAAGAATGAAGAAAGGAAGATAAAAAGAAATAATAAAGGTAATGGCTTAAGATTACACTTAATACTGAAATACTTTTTATTCGCCCTCTTTTTAGTCAGTTAAAACAAACAAACAGACAAACATACGATAGAACACAAAGAAAAATAACACATAAGAACACAAAAATACACAACACAAAAAAAGGAAACATAATTTTTAAAAACATTTTCTTACATGTTCAGCGATTTCCAATTGCGTTCCTTTCCCTATTGACAGTTCATTAAGGTCTTTAATCGCGCCTTGCATAGTTATCTTTGGGTAATAGAGATTCCTAAGCAGCATTACAGGAGGAACCTGAAAGTAGCCTTGTTCATAAACCCTGAAGCTTGAAGGAAACTCAGTCGGAGCGGATTGAATGATCAGTCTTTGAGATTTTCCGATGTGAAGCATCCCGCCGCTGTCGCCATCAAGACGGCCCACGTTTAAAGTGATCACACATTCGCACAATACGCAAGTACAGTTGCCTAAATGTTTTAAAGCCAAGTGACCTGAAATGAAATAATTTGGATGAATGAAAACAGCTTAAATTGGCCTCATTCATTACTTCAGGTAACCTAACCCCTCTGTAAAATGTAATAAGCATATCTTAATGTGGTATAAATAAACTGATCTTAACCTCCTTTCAAGTTGGGTCTAATTTAGGCGTATTCGGCCCTAGTGAAGGAAGTAAGTTATCGTATCGTATCGCATCATATTTTAATTGCGTAACTTTGAAGTATATGACTTATTAAAGGGCCACTTGGACGAAAATCG